CGCCTCGCCCTCGCAGCTCCCCTCGCTCCTGCGCTCTTCCCGCGCCGTCCTCCCCGCCAGCACCCGCTCACTCCCGCACCGCGCCCCCCGCCTGCACACCTCGCCGCAGACCATGTCGCTCGCACCCGTCCACACCGCCGATGCGCCCGCCGCCGTCGGCCCTTACTCGTGCGCCTCCCTCGCCTTTCTCATCTCCCCACCGGTCCACCTCTCGGCGCCCGAAACAGAGCGCGCGAGCTGACTGGTGGGTCGAACGCATGGCGCACACAGGCAGGCGATCAAGACCGACTCGCTCGTGTTCCTCAGCGGCTGCATTCCCCTCGTCCCGGCCACTATGAAGGTCATCGAGGGCGGAATCGAGGAGCAGACGGTGCGTCCCCCCTCTCCCTCTCTTTCTTTGTCCTGGTCGAGGCGCGGGGTCAGTGCGGATTGAGCATGTGCGCGCGTACAAGGAAGAGGCGAGCGGGAGGGACGGAGCTGTCGACGACGGGCGCGACGAGGCCGCTCGAGCCCGACGAGGGCGCAGCGCACTGACGCTCTTGCCTCCTCGTGCCGGCCCCGGAAACAGGAGCAAGCGTTCCGCAACTTCCAGGCCGTCCTCAAGGAGTCGGGCTGCCAGCTCACCGACGTGGCCAAGACGACCGTCTTCCTCCAGAGCCTCGGCGACTTTGCTGCCGTGCGTCGTCCCTCTCGCCGCTCTCTCTCTCTCTCTCGTACCTCGTAGAGCACCATACTGACCTCGCACGTCCCCTCCCCGACGACAGGTCAACGCCATCTACTCGCGCGTGTTTGGCGACCACAAGCCGGCTCGCTCGTGCGTCGAGGTGCGCCCACCTCTCTCTCCTGCGTCTTGCCGCCGCTCTCGCGCCCTGTCGCACATACTGACCCTCCTAAACCTCACTCGTCGCACATAGGTCGCCAAGCTCCCCCTCGGCGTCCTGTTTGAGATCGAGGGCATCGCCGTCCTCCCCAAGAAGGCCTGAGCTCTCTCTCTCTCTCTCTCGTCGTCGTCGTCGGCGTTCGCAATGCACAAACCCGCAGTCCAGTCCTCTCGTCCTCTCGTGTCGAGCGAACCGAGAGGGTTGTCGCCTCGCGAGAGCTGAAAGCCCTCGAGTCTGAGGACAAGCTCGCTCGAGTTCCGCTCTCGGGCCTCCTGTAACTCTCTGCTCTCGCTCGTGACCTGCGCGCACGAGCACGTTTTTCCTCTCGCCAACGCCGAGGCTTTGTGCGTTGCATGTGCCATGAGGCGCGACGAGGGGCAGGCAATCGCGCAAGCCAGCGGGTCCCGTGACCATGTTGGCGAGCGAGCGAGAGAATTTTGGTTGAGAGGCGCGATTCGATGTGAGCCGCTTCCGTTGGGGCACCGAGTGCGGAGATGTGACTCTATGTAGAGTGGGGGCGCAGCCAAGACGTACGAGCGAGCGAAGGAGGCGTGAGAGAGCTCTCTCGAGAGGCAGCTGGTCGAGCGTCGAGCCGCAGCCCGCTCGTACGCAGAGAGAGAGGGGAGCTGGGCTTATCGCTGCGGGTGCGAGCGCACGCTCTGTAGACCGAGTCGGGGCGTCGCCGGGGCGCGCACGCACGCACCGTCGAGAGGGAAGCCGCGGCCGGTCGGTGAAGCTCAGGAGGCGCACGTCGGACCGAGGTCTGTGCGCGGTGCGGCGGGTGCGCGGGTCCCGTGGCCTCTGCGCCGGTTGCGAGTTGCAGGCTCCCTCCCTGGGTGCGAGTGCGGGGTAACGCCGACCGACGAGTGGGCGCCAGAGGTCACGGGGAGCCGAACGCGCTCGCTCGCCTTTTCCTCACGCAACCTCGCTCTTCTCCCTCTCTCCCCAACACACCCTGCCACCATGCCTGGACACGCACAGCAGCCGCCTTCACCGCTAGAGCACATCCGTGGCCACCTCGACATCCCCAGGACCCCGTCGCCAGGTGCGCTCGCGCTTCCGTCTCATGCACCGCCTCCCGAGCGACCCTCCTCCCTCGCGGCGGTGCTCCTTGCACAGTAGCCGCGCCCTGACACACTGCTCCTCGCACAGCCCACGGCACCATCAAGGCGGGCGACCTCGGCTACGCCAAGGCCTCGTTCGCGGGCAAGGACGAGCACCGCAAGGCGGTCCTCGACGTGCGCCTCCTCTCTCGATCTCTCCTCACGTTCCCCGAGCCCTTTGACTGACTCGTGCACCCTCTGCAGATCGTCACCGACAACGGCTTCCTCCCCGACGTCCTGTGCGAGAGCGAGTGCGTCCCCTCTCCCTTTCCCCCCCCACCTCGGCCACTCCCGAAGAGAGCCGCGAATGCCTCGTGGGCAGCCCTCGTCGGCTCTACGCGGGCGCGATAACTGACACGGTGCCCGTCTCTCTCGCAGGGTCGACTGGTTCTACACGCAGCTCGGCATCGACGACGGCCTGTTCAAGCTCGCGAGCCCGCAAGAGGTGGCCGACCATGTCGAGGTGCGTCCTCCTCCCTCGCGCCTGCCTCTTGCCGTCCTCTACTGCGATGGCAAGGGCATCTTTGCGGACGATCAGGATCAAACTCACGAGCGACACTCCTGCAGAGCCTGTACGGCGCCAAGGTCCAGGCGCACGCGAGCCACAAGGACTACCTCGAGATCAAGCTCGAGAAGGAGACCGAGGTGCGTCTCGCCATCTTTCCCGTACTCTCAATCACAAGCGGAACGCGTACTGACCCGGCGCGAGCGCACCCGCAGAACTCGGCCGTCTTCATCTTCACCTCGCCGCCGGGCGTCTCGCTCTCGAACGGCCCGCAATACGAGCAGCGCATCGACAAGCAGTACCTCGACAAGTCGACGACGACCAACGCCTACCGCCTCGAGTCGTACCGCGCCCAGCCCGCCGCGCAGCCTGCCGCCGACCACCTGAGTGTGCCGAACGGCAACGGCGTCTCGCACACGCCGCCGGCCGAGAGCGTCGCGGCGCAGCTGCGCTCGTACTTTATCTCCAAGTGCGACTTTGTCGAGTCGAAGCTGTCGCCCGAGGAGCTGCAGCAGCCGGGCGTCGACCTGCGCGAGGTGGCCGACAAGACGTTCCTCGAGAAGGCGACCGAGAACACGCTCGAGATCTACCAGGAGCTCATGGACGAGGCCCTGCGCCGCATGGGCCCTGTCGTCGCCGCGTACGAGGTCGAGCGTTCGCGCGAGCGCCGCATCGTCATCGGGTACAAGCAGGGCGGCACCAACAGCTTCTTCTCGGCCCTCTCGGACCTGTACCACTCGTGCGTCCCGCCTCTCTCACTCTCTCCCTCTGTCGACTGCGACACAGGCCTGACGTCGCACGCTCTCCCCCTGCAGGTACGGCTTCTACTCGACGCGCAAGTACGTCGAGAACTTTAGGAACGGCGTCACGATCGTGTCGCTCTACCTGCACCCTCTGCAGGGCCCGCCTTCCGAGGCGAGCATCCTCCAGATCATCAAGGAGTCGTCGCTCATTTGTGCGTCGCCCTCTCTTTCCTTCGCCGTCGCCGTCGAGTTGAGCGAGCGAGAATCGCGCATTGACCCACTCTCTGTCTCTTCTCGCGCGCGCAGACGTGCTCCCGAACAACCCGCTCTTCACCGGGTCGCAGCTCACGGTGCAGGAGGCGACGTACGCCTACGCCGGGTGGATCTTTGCGCAGCACTTCCTCAACCGCCTCGGACCGGCCTACTCGGCGCTCAAGGACCTCCTCGACGAGAACGACTCGGTCCAGGCCGGCGTCCTGTCCGACATTCGCGCCCGTTTCCGCCAAGAGACGTTCACGCGCGGCAGCATCCTCGAGACGCTCCAGCAGTACCCGGACGTGATCCGCCTCGCCTACATCAGCTTTGCGTACCGCCACTACTACAACGTGTTCGGCAACTCGCTCGTGTGCGTCCCCTCGCCCTCTCATTCCTCTTGTCGACGCCGACGAGGTCCCTGACTGACCCTGTTTGCGGTCCCGCAGCCCGACCCTGTCGTACGCACGCCTCCAGTCGGCCGAGGTCCTGTCTGGCGAGCAGCTGTCGGCCCACATCAAGAAGCACGTCCTCAACAAGCACGACGCCCAGATCCTCGAGTCGTTCGTCACCTTCAACGAGGCGATCCAGAAGACCAACTTCTTCACGTGCGTCCCCCGCTTTCCCTCCTTCCTCCTCGACCGACCTGACAACGAGCTCGTGCGCCCGCAGCCCGACCAAGGTCGCCCTCTCGTTCCGCCTCGACCCGGCGTTCCTGCCGCAGGACGAGTACCCTGTCCGCGCGTACGGCCTGTTCCTCGTCGTCGGCGACGGCTTCCGTGGCTTCCACCTTCGGTTCAAGGTTCGCCCGCCTCTCCCTCTCTCATTCTCTCGCGTCCTTCGAGTCGGCCGACTGACTCTCTCGCACCCACAGGACGTCGCTCGTGGTGGCCTCCGCATGATCGTGCGTCCGACCTTCCCTGCCTCTGCCCGCTCGGGCCTCTCTGACCCTCGGTCTCGCCCCTCGCCGCCGCCCGCAGATGTCGCGCAACCGCGAGAACTACTCGATCAACCAGCGCAACCTCTTCGACGAGGTGTACGGCCTCGCGTCGACCCAGGCGCTCAAGAACAAGGACATCCCCGAGGGCGGCTCCAAGGGCGCCATCCTGCCCGACCTTGGCGCCAACCCGCAGGTCGTCTTCTGCAAGTTTGTCGACGCCATCTTTGACCTGCTCCTGCCCGGCAAGACGCCCGGCGTCAAGGACAAGATCGTCGACCTGTACGGCAAGGAGGAGATCGTGCGTCCCTCTTCCTCTCTCTCTCTCTTCCTCGTGTTCCTCCTTCTCGCGCCCCGACTGACTCTCTCTCTCGCACATCAATCCTGCAGCTCTTCTTCGGCCCGGACGAGGGCACGGCCAACTACATGGCCTGGCTCGCCAACCACGCTCGCGCTCGCGGCGCCGCCTGGTGGAAGGCGAGCTCGACGGGCAAGCCGGCGTCGACGCACGGCGGCATCCCGCACGACACGTACGGCATGACGAGCCTGTCGGTGCGCGGCTACACGACGGGCATCTACCGCAAGCTCGGCCTGCGCGAGGAGGACACCAAGAAGGTGCAGACGGGTGGCCCGGACGGCGACCTCGGCTCGAGTGCGTCCAGCTTTCACTTCCTCTCTGTGCGCTCGTCGAGACGAGGACGTCCTCGTCCGTCGGGCTTCGCACGGTTCGAGCGGCGCTGACGCCGGTCGTCTCGCGCAGACGAGATCCTCCTCTCCAAGGACAAGACGACGACCAGTGCGTCCCTCCTCTTCTCGCCTGGCCTCCCTTCTCCTCGTCCTCGTATCCTGACGAACTTTCTCCTTGCACACAGTCATCGACGGCTCGGGCACGGCGCACGACCCGAACGGCCTCGACCGCGACGAGCTCATCCGTCTCGCCAAGGCGCGCGTCATGGTCAGCAACTTTGACCGCTCCAAGCTCTCGCCCGAGGGCTACATCGTCCTCGTCGACGACCGCGACGTCACGCTCCCGAGTGAGTCGCGCCGCTCCCTCTCTCGTCGGCGTCGGTCCTCGCGACCTTCCTCGAGGCCGCCTCGCTGACTAGGTGCCCGGGCCGGTTCACAGACGGCGACATTGTTGCCGACGGCACCGACTTCCGCAACTCGGCGCACCTCCGCTACAAGGCCGACATCCTCGTGCCGTGCGGCGGCCGCCCCGAGTCGATCAACATCGGCAACGTCTCGCGCCTGTGGGACGCCGACGGCGTGCCCAACTTCAAGTACCTCGTGTGCGTCCTCTTTCCCTCTTTCTCTTCCCCTGTGTGCCTGTGTGCCGAGGAGCAGAGACTGACCCTCGTCGTCGTCGTCGTCCCCCTTCCCCCTTCCTCTCCCTTTTTGGCCCTTCTCGTCCTCCTTCTCGACCTCGTCCGCCTGCAGCGAGGGCGCCAACCTGTTCTGCTCGCCGGGCGCTCGCCTTCAGCTCGAGAAGAAGGGCGTCGTCGTCATCCGCGACGCGTCGGCCAACAAGGGTGCGTCGCTCGGTCCTCTTCTCGCGCTCGCCAGCTGGCCTCACAAGACTGACATTGTCCCTCCTTCGTCCTGCAGGTGGTGTTACGTCGTCGAGTCTCGAGGTCCTGTCGGGCATGTGCTTGAACGACAAGGAGTTCATCGAGCTCATGTGCTCGCCTCCCGGTACCGGTCCGTCCTCTCTCTCCCTCTTCCTCGTCGTGCGCTCTCTCTCCTCCTCGAGCGCCCTCCTGACACCTTCTTCACCGTTCTGCAGAGACGCTGTCGGACTTCTACCAGGCGTACGCCCGCTCGATCCAGGAGATCATCTCGCAAAACGCGACGTTCGAGTTCGAGGCCATCTGGGCCGAGCACGAGCGCACCGGTCGCGCCTACACCCTGTACGTCTCTCGCTCTCTCCTCGTCTCTCGTCATTTGTCCCGCCGACGCACAGACACTGACCTTGTCGCCCACCCTCGTGCAGCCTCTCGGACGACCTCTCGCGCAAGCTCGTTCAGCTGCAGGACCAGATGGAGCAATCTTCGCTGTACGACGACGTCCCCCTGCGCCGCGCCGTCCTCGCGCGCGCCCTCCCTCGCGTCCTGCAGGACAAGATCGGCCTCGACACGATCCTGTCGCGCCTGCCGCAGGCGTACGCCCTGTCCATCTTTTCGAGCTACATCGCGAGCCGCTACGTCTACTCGTACGGCATCGAGTCGAGCCCGATCGACTTCCACTACTTCCTCCAGAAGCTCTCGGCCGAGGCCGAGGCATAGGTCAGGTCGTCGCCCCGCTCGCACCCCCCTCCTCCTCTTCTCCCTCCTCCTCCATAGACCGGCATCCTTCCTCTTCCCTCTTTCTTAGGCCCTCCCACTGCAGCATCTCTCTCTCTCCCTCTCCCATGGCCTCCCTTTTCATCAGTGCCCCCCTCTCGACCGCTCCACGGACAATTTCCCCCTCCTCCCTTGATTTTGCAAAGATCTGTGCGCTCCCTCTCTTTCTCTCTCGGGCCAGTCTCGCGAGAAGGGTCCTGCAGTGAGAGCGCTCGAGACGAGAGAACCAGGAAAGAGGCCATCGTTGCAGAGACTGTCACTACTCGCGCTGCAGCAGGATGCCGCCTCCGAGAACTGCGAGGCGGGGCAAGGTCAGTTTGGTCTCGTTGGGAGGCTCGACCGCCCGCACGAGATAGAGAGAAAGGGGAGCGCACCGGCGAGGAGGGCGTACTTGAGCTTGGGGTAGTCGTTCTGCGCGAGGACGGGCGGGGTGGGTCAGTTTGGCGGCGACGAGAGGGCGAGGGCAGAGGAGGAGAATCGAGGACGCACGAGCAGAATGGTGCCGTAGCCGACGTAGGGAACGTATCTGTGCGCAGCGGGAATGTTGACCTCGAAGTCAATGCGCGTTCTCGACCTCGAGAGCCCGACCCGGACGACCATGTCGCGCTCGCCGACGCACCCCTGCACCTTGCCGACAATGTGGCTCCGCTTGAGGTACTGCATGCCGTTGTACAGCGCGACGTCGTGGTGCTGGTTGTTGTCGCCCTTGGTCAGGATCCACTGCTCGGTCGAGTTGCGCCTGCTCCCGAGGACGAGAAGGGTCAGTTCCTCATGCTCGAACTCGGCGCTCGCCGACGAGGATGAGCGAGAGAGAGAGGGAGCGAGGGGACGCACTCGTCGTGCGTCTCGATGACGCGGTGCACGATGGGGATGGGCGTGCCCGGGATCTTGTAGACGGTGATGTCGCCGTGCTTGAGCGGGGCGTGCCGGGGCATGGTGAGGAACAGGAGGTCGCCTCGCTGCGGGGGCGGCGATGTGCGGCCAGTGCGTGAGGGAGGGCGAGAATGGGGTGGGGATGAAGAGGGAGTCGGCTGATGGCCCTGGAGGGAGAAAGAGGAGGGACAGGCGAGAAGACGAACCTGGATGGCCGGCTCCATGCTCTCGCTGCAGACGGGCAAGAGTTCAGTGGGGCGTTTCGCGGTGACGGGGTGGGTGCGGACGAGAGGGACAGACCTGAGGACGACGACGACGGGGCTCTCGGTGTTGCAGAGGACCGAGAGACCTTTCCACATCATGAGGGCGGTCGAGAGGACCATGGCAAAGTTGAGCGCCTGGGTGAGGACCTGTTGCGGGTGGGGTTGTAGCGGGGATGGGGCATGGTCGATTGGTGCGGGTCGTGGGGGCGCAGGTGGTCCGGATGGCGAGGGAGGGAGCGACGAGGACGAGGTGGGGGAGGAGCGAGGCGGGGTGGGACGAGTGTCTGGTCAGTTCTGCCTCGTGGAGAGCGGAGAAGAGGTGGACGTACATGGCGGAAGCCCAGGCGCCTGAAGGTGGCAATCTCGTCCTTGAACATGGCGTCGCGGTCGAGAGGCGAGGATCTGGCTGATGAGGTCGACGACGAGACGAGGCGGGAGCAGGCCACACGCGACGGGACGGGGCGGGTGGGCTCTGTGTCGAGTCTAGAGCTATGTTGGAGCTCAGGAGAGCTGCTTGTGCGCCTCCAGAGGGAGAGCTGGTTGGTGAGAGAGGCGCAATCGTCCTCATCAGCTCGTCGTCGTCGTGGATCCCTCTCTCACTCGTTCCACCAGACCGATTGACTGAGCAGCAGCATGACAGACACCACTACCACCACCACGCAGCACTGGCTCCTCGCCAAGTACTCGCGCAGCCGCTCTCTCCTCGACACGGCACCCTCGCCAGCGACCGCCGCCTCGAACAACGATCCGGCCACGGTCGCAGGCCAGGGCTCGGATGACAACATCCAGTGGGACCACTAGCACGTCCCGATATGCCTCACCGACTCTCACAGCCGAACGCACTCACTCGAGGGCTCGCCCACAGCTCGCAACCGCAACTCGCCCTCCGCCTCGATTCCACCTTTGCCTCGTCGCCCTCGTCGTCAACGCCGAGCTCGCCCTCGACCCACCCGCTCCGCATGGTCCTCAGCGTCACATTCGACCCGCTCTTCCGCGACCCAGACCGCGGCGGCACCCAGCAGCCCCTCCTCCTCGACTCGCTCGACCTCACCGCCTTTTCGTCGCGCGAGATCCGCGCCGCTACCCCGCACGACCAGCTCCCGCTCAAGGCCGTCTACCGCGACGCCGTCCTCGGACTGCGCTACCTCTCGCTGTCGACGCACGCCCGCAGCGCGCCCAACCGCCCGCAGGTCGAGTTCCGCCGCCTACAGGCAAAGTTCACGTCGACCGCCGAGCGCGAGCGCTTTGTCGACGCTGTCGGCGCCCTCGTGCCCGCCAAACCCGCCATCGAGGCCGAGCCTGCACCCGTCGCCGCACCTGTACCGCCGCCCAAGGCGAAAAAGCTCAAGGTCGGCCCGCCGTCGCCCGAGGCGACCAAGCCGGCCAAGCCGACGACGAGAAAGAAGAACGCGACGACGCCTCGCTCGCGCAAGAAGCAGCCGGTCAAGAAGGTGCAGCCGGCGAGCCCGTCACCGCCGCCGCCGCCGCCGCACCCGCACGAGGGCGACTCGCTGCCCGCCTTTTCGACCGCGCGCGGCCCGCCCACGACGGCCGCCACGCCCCTGCCGTCCTCGCGCCCGCACCTCGCCCAACCCGCTCACTCGACGCCACGCCTCCCGGCCACCCTCTCGACCCTCCTGCCCAACGTCGCCACGGCCTCGACCTCGACCGCCTCGCAGCTCCTCGCCGCCCTCGCGCCGCACGACTTTGAGCAGCTCCTGCAGGACGCGCTTCTCGAGGACGGGTTCGAGCAGCTCGTAGAGAGGGTGCAGGGCACGTTGATGGGCGGGTGAAAACGCGCTCGCACTTTCGTCTCTCTCTCTCTCTCCGGACTCGGTCGGGCTGAGAGAAAGCGCGAGAGGGGTACCGATCGGTGCTGAGTACAGAGAGCGGGCAAGCGTCCTACTAAGGGTCTAAGTATGCAAGAGAGAGAACGCGCGAGAGAAAAAGAGGGTCTAAGCGCCCTCTGCGCGAGCGAGCTCGCCGTCGGCGACGCCCTTCTCAACATCGGCCTCGCGCCGCGCCTCGTCCTCATCCTCCTTCTCGCCCTCCTTGTCGCCCTTGCGCGCACTGCTGCCCCGTCCCGCCTTCCTCGCCGCCTTGGCGTCCTTCTTGGCCTGCTTCTTGTCGCGCGCGAGCTGCTTGTCGGCCTCGGTCTCGACCTTCTTGATCGACGTGTTCTCGATGAACAAGGCTGCAAAGATGCCCATCGCGTAGAAGGCGACGCAGATGACGAAGACTGTGGCGCGGGACGAGGCGAGAGAGGGACGAGGTCAGTCTTGCTGCTGCGCCGAGACGAGACGACGCTCGAGGGCCAGGGCAGGGACGCAAGGCGAGGCGAGCCGAGGCGAGGCGTCGAGAGAAAGAGCAAGAGAGCAGGGACGCACCAATGTCGAGCGACTTGACGTACGCGAAGATCGCCTGCGCCCTCACGGCGGGCTCGAGCTCGTGAATCTGGAGCGGCGACTGCTCGATGACGGCGAGAGGTGCGTCGGGCGCGTACTTGGCAAAGTTGGTCGTGAGCTGCGTCGAAAGGGCGCTCTGGCCGATGGCGAGCGCGACGGTGCCGCCTGCAGGAACGTCGGGAAGCGCTCGTCAGTGCCTCGCTCGAGCGAGAGGGCGAGAGAGAGAATCGAGGGGACGCACCGAGGAACTGACTGAAGCTGGCCATCCCCGTGGCCTGACCGATGTGCCGCATGTCGTCCCTGAACGCGGCCTGCATCGCAAAGATCGAGTTCTGCATGGCCGTACCGACGCCGACGCCGCACAGGATCTGATACCCGATGATCTTGGCGTTGGCCGTGTCGGGCGTGATGGTGTACAGGAGGCCCGCGCCGATGGCGCCCGGGATGGGCCCGAGCACGAGGAAGTACCAGTACCGGCCCGTGACCGAGACGAGGCGGCCGGCGACGACGACCGAGATGACGACCGAGATGCAGAAGGCGAGGACTGTGGGACGAGAAGAGTCAGGTGCGTACGCACGAGAGAGTGGGACGCGAGCAACGCACTGTCGATGCCGCTCTGTGTCGCGTCGTGGTTCCGGACGGCCTGGTCTGCGAGGCGACGAGGAAGAGTCAATAGGGCGAACGACGACGTGCAGGCGTCGACGACTACGTACAGTAGATCGGCTGCAGGCGCAAGGTCCTCGAGTCAGTCACAGAGGCACGAGGAGGGGTCGACGAGGAGGGCGAAAGAGGTCGACGCACGATGTAGTACGTGAGGATGAGGAGCGAGCAGCGCGTCATGAACGCCGAGATGCAGATGGCGTACACGCCGACGTTCTTGAAGATCTTGCCGGGCACCATTGCGCGGTCGCCGAGGTAGCGCTGCCAGAAGACGAGGACGATCGAGAGGACGCCGGCGACGACGAAGCACTGCAGGATCGAGGCTGGGTCAGTGGACGCTCCTCGTTGTGCGAGCAAAGGACGTGGACGCACCGCGATGACGCCGCCGTCGTTCCAGGGACGCTGATTGCCGCCCCACTGGAGCGCAAGGACGAGACACGTCACGGCGCCGAGGCACAGGACGGCGCCAAGCCAGTCGATGCGCACGGTCTGGCGCAGGATACCGCGAGTCGTACGGTCGTTGGGGTCGGCGCCGAGAGGGAGGGTCGACTTGAGGAGGAAGACGCAGCCAGCGATGGTGACGGCGCCGACAGGAAGGTTGATCTGCGAGAGCGACAAGGATCAGGAGCGCTTCCCGGGAGGCGCTGTAGAATCAGACGTACGAGGAAGCACCAGCGCCAAGTAGAGTGATCGGTGAGGGCGCCGCCAATCTGTGAAAGGTCGAGGGTGAGCTCAAGGTCGGGCTCTGAGGACGAGGAGGGACGAGGCGGGACGCACGAGAGGACCGACGACCGAGGACAAGCCAAAGACGGCGCCGAACAAGCCAAAGATACGAGGCCGGTCCTCGAGGGCGGTGACCTGAGCGATAATCTGCAGCATGGAGATCTGAGAAGGGAGAAGGGGTCAGTGCACGTCCTCGCTTCGACCGCTCGCCTCTATAGCTCGCCACAAGCCCGCCTGTAGGAGCGCATCGACGCTCCTGTAAGGCTCGCGGGCGAGTCGAGGAAAAGGAACGGAGAGGAAAGAGGGCGCGGGACGCACGAAGATGCCCGCTGCCCCGACGCCGGAAACTGCGCGCCCCCAGATCAAGGTCATGACGTTCTGCGCGCCGCCGCAGATGGCGCTACCGACCTCGAAGATGCCGACCGCCGTGATGAGGGACCACTCTGCGCGAGAGCAAGACGGGTCAGTCAGGTTCGCTCGCTCGCTCGCTCCTGGGTGGACGAGGGGACGCACTGGCAGGGTAAATGCGCAGGACCTGGCCCCACCACAAGATCGTTGCCGTCTGCGTCAGGATAAAGGCCGACGACACCCAGCCCTGCTTGTCGAAGGCGTTAAAGGTCGACGCGATGCGAGGAAGCGCCGTCGCGAGGATCGTTTGGCTGCAGGGTCGAGACGGGGTCAGTTCAGGCCTCGAGAGGATCTCGACCCTCGCCATAGACCGACAGCCTTGCGCCTCGCCAGGGCGCAGAGGAACAGAGAGAGAAAAAGAGCTGGACGCACTCGAGGGCGACGACGAAGAGAGCGAGGAGCTGCGCCGCCATGACGATGGCGAGCTTCTTGCCCTGGATGTGCGCCGACGTGTCGGGCCCAGCAGGCTTGGGCTCGTCGGCGGCGGGTGCATCTTGCGGCGCCGCGAGGTGCTTGTCGGCCGACGGTGTGGAGGCGGGCGAGTCTTTGAGGTCGTGATCCGGCTCGCCGCCGCTCAGGGTCGGCGACAGCGAGTGCGAGTACGGTTGCTCGAGCGTGTGCTGATGCGCCATGGCGAGCGTGAGGCGAGGACGAGGTGGGAGGGAGGAGCGAGAGGGACAATGCAAGCGAGCGAGCGCGCCTGCTCCAAATTCGGCGCGGACGCCCGGCGGAGGTTGGTCGGCGATCACAGCGGAGCCGGGCCTTCGGCACAGTCAAGCGCTCGTAAGCAGCTCCAAGTCGAGTCCGTTCCAGCTGCTCAAACGCGTGTACAGCACTGGCGCTTCGGCCGTGCACGCTCCACCGAGTGTCCGTCGCTTCGGCGCGGAGCGGACCCCTGCTACGTTGCTTCCAGCCGCGAACGAAACTCTCTGCAGAGTCTCTCACCTGCAGCACGAAAAGACTGAGCCGGCGACGGAAGGGGAGGATGGCATTCTAGAGGCTCGAGCGCACGTCTCCGTCTACAGCTCGTCGACGATGCGCCTGAGCAGCAGCGCGTCGCCGTTCTCCCACCGGCCCGTCACCTTGCCCTGCCACCTCCCCTTGCCGCCGCCCTTGACGCGCTCCCTGCCAAACGTGTCGACGACGCGCTTGCCCGCCTCGACGACGAGCGCCTCGGTCCCGACGATGAGGACGGCGCCGCCCGCCGCTGCGGCCGTCGGCGAGCCGGCCGTCGCGCCGCACGCGAGGACGAACAGCGACGACGAGGGCGCGGCGGCGTCGATGCGCGGCTTGAGCTCGGCCGCGACCGACGCGAGGAACTCGAGCGAGTTGGTCGCGTCGTCCTCCCTCAGCGTCGACGCCCTCGCCCCGGCTCCCGCTCCCTCGCCCTCGCGCCCCTGCTGCGCCCGCTCCCACAAGTCGCGCGCGACAAACCCGGCGAGTTCGCCCGCGAGCTTCTTCTCGCGGCGCTTGGCCTCGGCGACGCCCTGCACGAGCGCGTCGACCTTGGCCGGCAGGTCGGGCAGGGCGCAACCCGCTGCGAGGGCCGCCTCGCGTGCGGGTGCTTGCTGCGTCGCGAGGTAGGCTAGGGTGCGCTGGGCGCCCGAGGCAAAGTAGACGCGCGCGTTGGTGCCGCGGATCGGGGTCGTGAAGGGCGCGAGGTACAGGGTGCGGAGGTAGGCGAGCGAGGGGTAGTGTGTGCCGCAACAGGCTGTACGAGGGCGGGCGAGAGGCAGAGGGTCAGCTCGGTCCTAGGGAGGGAGAGTAAGGGAGAGCGAGGGAGAAGGGACGCACGGTTCTCGTCGATGCCCTCGATCGTGACGGTGCGCTGCACAGGTGGCCTCTGCTCGCCCGACTCGTCGCACTTGTAGTCGTCGGGCACCTTGTCGCCGAGCGCGACGCCCGAGCCCTCGGTCGCGAGCTCGCACCGGACCCGGACGGGGCGCGCCTCGCCGATCAGGTCAGTGCACCGCTGCTGGACGGCGACGAGCTCTTGCGGGGTCGGCGCACGCGGGAGCTCGACGTAGTTGAGCTCGGGGAAGCGTTGGAGGGACCACGACAGGGTGTCGAGGCCGTGCTCGCGCTCAAAGATGGCCGACAGGAGCTGCGGGTGGACGAGCGAGAGTCAGAGACCGGGCTCGAGGAGAGAGAAAGAGAAGGAGAGCGGGCTCGAGGAGAGCGAGAGAAGGAGAGCGGCGAGACGCACATGTTGGCCCGTGTGCTGGTCCTGGCTGCGTGCGGCTCGAGAGGAGGGTTCAGCAAGAGTCGCAGAGAGAGGACGAGCGGGAAAAGAAGGGAGGGGACGCACTGGTCGATCCTGCGGGCCATGTCGACCTCGACGCGGACCCTGGTGCCGACCTCGAGCGGGGCGTCGACGTAGTGGACGGCGTCGAGGTTGCGGCGGACGACTTGGCGGACGCTGACACGCAGGTGCTCGCCGCTCTGGCCGTCGACGAGGGCGACGAGGGCGCCCGTATCCGAGGGCTGGCCGCCGCCCTCCGGGAATAGGACGCTGTCCAGGAGCTCAACCTCGTACTCGTCCTTCGAGTCGGTCGTCGAGGCCGGTGCTGCAGCGGCCTTCTTGCCCTTGGTCGGTGCGGCGGCGGGGGCGGGTTGAGGCTTGACCTTGTCGCAGCGGACGACTTCGGTGTCGAGGGTGGTGGCGAGCGGGTCGAGCTGGCACTTGAGCATGCCGACGTAGCGCTTGTTTGGGAGCGGGAACGAGACGTGGGCGTAGTCGGGCGGACAAGTGGAGCCGGAGGAAGGGGCCGAGAGGGAGAGGACGGGGGCGGCGGTGGTGGCCATGGCGACGAGGGTGCGGGTGGGTAGGTGCAGTCGGGTGTTGAGCAAGCAAGTGCGTGCCCTCGTGAGCATCCACAGGGTGACCGAGAGAGAGAGAGCCGCGAACGTTCGCCTCCTCCTCGTCCTCGTCGTCGGCACTCTCGCTCGCCACCACCTCGCTCGACGAGGCTCACGACCACTCGTACCCATCACAGTCCGCAGCTCTCAAAGCAGCGCGACCCCTTTCGCCGCACCCGCCCGGCCTTCCTGCGCCTCGTCGACCCTCGACCACCTTCCGCTCCGCCTCGCGCTCCACCGCAGCCCTCGAACAAGCTCGCCAGCACCACCAGTCGACGCAGCACTACCTCGATCACCCACAGCCCCACCCGCCACCCGTCTAGCGGCAGTTCCCACCTTCCCTCCCTCTTCATCTCCTCCTCGCACCGCCCCGACTTAACTTCGCCCAGCCCGCCATGGCCGACATCTTTGGCCTCCGCGGCGACCGGTACGCCTTCCTCAAGCTCGCACCCCCGCCGTCGTACGTCGCCGGTGCCGGCCGTGGCGCCCAGGGCTTCACCACCCGCAGCGACATTGGTCCCGCGCGAGAGGCCCTCCCCGAGGGCGACGAGGCCCCAAAGGAGGAGGAGCACAACCCGGACCAGTTCCAGGACCCGGACAACGAGACGGGCTTGTTTGCCGGTGCGTCGACTCGTTCCTCCTCCTCCTCGTTCGCCCATGTCGTCGAGCCTTCTGCGGCACAGCTGGCTCGCCGAGATTGAAGGAGTCGAGGGGGACATTCGACTCATGGCACCCCACGCTCGCAGGCACCGTGTACGAGGCCGACGACGAGGAGGCCGACCGCATCTACGAGGCCGTCGACGCCGCCATTGACGAGCGGCGGCGCGCCAAGCGCGAGGCCCGCGAGCGCGACGTCGCCGACAAGCTCCTCAAGGAGCGCCCGACCATCCAGAGCCAGTTTGCCGACCTCAAGCGCGGCCTCGCCGACATGAGCGAGAACGACTGGCACAACCTGCGTGCGTCCTCGACTGCGCCCTCTCTCGTCTGTCTCTTTCGCCTCGAGCGACCGTCACTGACTCGATGTTCGGCTCGTCGACGCAGCCGAGGTGAGCAACCTGATCGGCAACCGCGTCAAGAAGCCTCGGCTCGAGGGCCGCAGCTACGTCGTGCCCGACAGCGTCCTCGTCGGCGCCCGCGACATGAACGCCGTTGAGCACACGCTCGCCGACGACCAGATGGTCCGTCTCTCCTCTCCTCTCCTTTCCCCCCCTCTCGCTCCTCCCCGGTCTCGCCACTCACTCATTCCTCGACGCCCTGGTCCGCGCGCCCGCAGAAGGACGGCCTCTCGACGCCCGCCGACGCCCTCACCGACTTTGCCGAGATTGGTCAGGCGCGCGAGAAGATGCTGTCGATCAAGCTCGAGCAGGCCGGCGGCGACTCGGCGAGGGGCTCGACCAACGTCGACCCCAAGGGCTACTTGACCGGGCTCGACAGCCAGATGCTCAAGACGAGCAGCGAGATTGGGTGCGTCGGCCTCGTCCTCTCGTCCTGCTTCTTCTCTCTACATCGTTGCACGGAGCAAGGAGCTGCAGCTTGAGGTTCACCCGAATTGACGCGCCTCCTCGTCCCGCAGCGACATCAAGCGCGCGCGCGCCCTCCTCCAGTCGCTCACCAAGACGAACCCGAAGCACGCCCCGGGCTGGGTCGCCGCCGCGTGGCTCGAGAACGTCGCCGGCAAGCAGGTCGCCGCGCGCAAGATCATCGCCGAGGGCTGCGACCAATGCCCCAAGAACGAGGACGTGTGGCTCTGCGCGAGCGAGCTCAACGTGCGTCGCCGGCCTTTTATCTCTCTCTCCCCCTTCGTCCTTCTCGTGCATCAGTCTGCGCGAGACTGCCGATGGTGAACCTGGCCTCCTGCGCGCAGACGAACGAGAACGCCAAGGTCATCCTCGCCAACGCGGTCCAGGAGCTGCCGCAGTCGGTCCGGATCTGGATGCGCGCCGTCGAGCTCGAGAACGACGTCAAGGCCAAGAAGCGGGTCCTGCGCAAAGGTGCGTCCTGATCGTCCTCTTTTACCGTCGTCGTCGCACGAGCCCCTCCGACCTGACTGACTCGCCCCTCTCGCCCCGCTGCAGCCCTCGAGTACATCCCGGCGTCGGTCAAGCTGTGGAAGGAGACGGTCAAGCTCGAGGACAACCCGGAGGACGCGCGCATCCTCCTCGCGCGCGCCGTCGAGGTCATCCCGCACTCGCAAGAGCTGTGGCTCGCGCTCGCGCGCCTCGAGACGCCCGACCGCGCGCGCCAGGTCCTCAACAAGGCGCGCAAGACGATCCCGACCTCGCACGAGATCTGGATCGCCGCCGGCCGGCTCCAGGAGCAGGAGGGCAACGTGGGCCAGGTCGACGCCATCATCGCCAACGGCGTGTCGGCGCTCAAGAAGAACGGCGCCGAGCTCTCGCGCGAGCAGTGGCTCGCAGAGGCCGAGCGCGCCGAGAGCCAGGGCAGCACGGTCACGGCGCAGGCCATCGTCAAGGCGTGCATCCACCTCGACGTCGACGAGGAGGACCGCCAGGCCGTGTGGCTCGACGACGCCGAGACGATGACGACCAAGGGCCACATCGCGTCGGCGAGGGCCATCTACGCCTACGCGCTCAACGTGTACCCGCAGAAGCAGACGCTGTGGCGCAAGGCGGCCGACCTCGAGAAGCAGCACGGCGACCGGTGCGTCCCGCCTCGTTCCTCCCCTCCTCCTCTCCTTTCCCCTCGACCTCGCACTGACTCGTCGATCCTTCCCGACTCGCAGCGAGACGCTCCTCGCCCTCCTCAACCGCGCCGTCGAGTCGGTCCCGCAAGCCGAGGTCCTGTGGCTCATGGCGGCCAAGGAGTCGTGGCTCGCCGGCGACGTCGACGCGGCTCGAGGGATTCTCGCTCGCGCGTTCGAGGCCAACCCGGACAGCGAGGGCATCTGGCTCGCCGCCGTCAAGCTCGAGGCCGAGAACGGCGAGATCGGCGCCGCGAGGGAGCTCATGCAGCGCGCGCGTGACGTGTCGGGGACCGAGCGCGTGCGTCCCTCTCTTTCTCTCTCTCTTTCCCTCTCCCTCGCCCCCGTCCCGGTCCAAGCGCCGTACTCTTGAGCCCGACACTGACTGCTCGTCGTCGGTGCCGCGCAGATCTGGGTCAAGTCGGCCGTGTTCGAGCGCACGCACAGCAGCACCGCCGCCGCGCTCGACATGGTCAAGGCGGGCCTCAAAGTCTTCCCGGCGTCGGCCAAGCTCCACATGATGCACGCGCAGCTCCTCCAGGCGCAGAGCCCGCCCAACGTCGCCGGCGCGCGCGAGGCGCTCGCCGTCGGCGTGCGCAAGTGCCCGACGGCCGTCCCGCTGTGGATCATGGCGTCGCGGCTCGAGGAGAAGGCGGGCGTGCGCATCAAGGCGCGTGCGCTCCTCGAGAAGGCGCGCAACCTCAACCCGAAGAGCGAGGAGGTGTGGCTCGAGAGCGTCAAGGTCGAGGAGCGAGACGGGTCCGGCGCCGCCAAGCCCATGTTGTCTCGAGGTGCGTCCCTCTCTCTCGTCCTCCCGCACTCTCTCGGCAACGTCCTCGACATGTGACTGACCCTCTCGTTGCCCGTCTCGCCCGCAGCCCTTCAAACCCTCCCCTCGTCCGGCCTCCTCCACTCGCACTCGGTCTGGTCCGAGCCGCGCCCGACTCGCAAGACGCGCTCGGTCGACGCCCTCAAGAAGACCAACAACTCGCCGACCGTCATCGTCACCGTCGCGCGGCTGTTCTGGGCCGAGCGCAAGATCGAGAAGGCGCGAGACTGGTTCGCGAGGGCCGTCGCCGCCGACAAGGACTTTGGCGACGCGTGGGCGTGGTGGTGGAAGTTTGAGAAGCAGCACGGCACAGATGTACGTCCTTTGTTTCTCTCATTCTCTCTGTCTCGGTCGTCGAACCCTTCCGACGGCGACAAGAACTGACCTCGTCGATCTACAGGAGCATCGCGAGGCGCTGTTGCAAAAGTGCGTCGCCGCCGACCCGCACCACGGCCAGGTGTGGCCGACGATCGCCAAGGACCCGGCCAACGTCGGCAAGGACCTCGTCGCCATCCTCGAGCTCGCGTCGCAGGCCGTCGAGGAGGGCACGTCGGGAGCGGCGGCGGCGCCATGAGCGTGTCGAGGAGGGGGTCCGAGTGCACGTCACGCAGAACTTGTTGCAACTACCTCGCTGTTCAACGTGCTCCTCGTCCCGCTCTCGCTCGCGCTCTCGCTGTCGAGACGCTGTCGCCGCCGCCGAGAGTAAGAGAGAGAGAAAACGAGATGCTTTGCGAGTGTCTGCAAGCGCGACGACGAGGACAGGCAGGAGTTGGATCTGGAGCACATGGGGAGCTTGCAGACTCGAAAAGACGACGAAAGGAGGGGTGGCACAGAAAGATCGGGCGGTGAAAGTCGAAGGAACTGCTTCGTGATGGGAAAGATGGAGGCGGGCGAGATATCTTATGCGTGCGACGGCGACGACGGAGGAGGGATCGACAGCCAGGCCGTATACAGAGGGCGGTAGACGGCGAGGTTAAAGGTGGCGACCCGGGCGATGCGCATGCCGAGGAGCTTGACCTCGGTCGAGAGGGCGACGAGGCCGTTGCGCTGCAGAGCGAGGTCGACCAGCGACGGCTGTGCAGCTGACTCGACGTCTGCCGACGACGACGACGACGACGACGAGCGGCGGCGACGCTGGCGCTCGTCGGGGCCGCCGGTGCGGGAGGACGATGGCGAGTTGCCGGTGTCGTCGCCGCCGTCGAGGCACGAGCGCTTGACGCCTCGCGAGGGCGTCGTCGACGCCATCATGTCCGCCGACGGTCGAGCACCGCGACTCGATGCCCGCGAAGAGCCGGCAAAGTGGGCGAGGCCGGCCGAGGACCGTGCGCCGCCGGTCGTCATGGGCCCGGGCTCGACCTGCGGCGCCCACCAGCCCGTGAACGACATCGGGCCGTGGGCCGCCTCCTTGGCGAGCTCCTCGTCGACGACGGCGTGCAGCGTCTCGCGCAGGCGCCGCTGCAGGAGCTGGAAGAGCTTGGACGACTCGCGCACGTTCGAGTCGAAGTAGCTCGCGACGAGCGCGAGCGTCTCGGCGTCGGGCACCGTCGCCGACGCGCAGCTCGTCGTCGCCGTCGTGCTGGTTGCGCGGAGGCGGAGCTCGGTCGCGCGGCGGGCCACCTGGAGGAGGACGTCCTGCATGCCGGCGCGCCATGTCGGGTTCTCGAGCTTGGCCGAGCCGAGCCCGGGCGGGCCCTGCGGGATGCCCTGGATGGATCCGGCGGGACCGGCGAGCGACGACGGCGACCTTGCGCTCGACGCCATGATGCACCACAGCTCCTGGCGGAGCGAGTCGAGGTCGGCGGGCGTCGGGCGGGCCGGGTACGCGAGCTGGCCGAACAACATCGTGAGGAGGTAGACGACGGCGAGGTCGACGGCGTCCGAGTGGAACGCCTGGATGCGGTACGAGTCGAGCTGGAGCGTCTCGGGGAGCGCGGCCGCCGGCGAGGAGGAGGCGGCGGCGCCCGACGGGAAGACGAGGTCGAGCAAGCCGCGCGTGAGGGCCTGCTCGACGAGCTCGCGGTTGTCGAGCGCACGTGGGGTGTCCTTCTTGACGACGCCGGCGGCCGACGAGTGGAGCCAGGTGCGGAGGCGGTCGAACGAGCCCGGACCCTGACGACGCGTCGCAAAGTCCTGGTAGACGCGGCGCTCAAACACGAGGGCGGTCTGGACGAGGTAGGGGCGCAGAGAGCGGAGCTGGTGGTTGGCGATGTCCTGCGGGGCAACGACGGGTCAGTTTGAGGTCTACTGACGACGGCGAGGAAGGGAACGTGGGACGCACCAGCTTCATGAGCTCGAGGATCTCGAAGCACATCTCGAGGCCCTTGGCGAGGCCCTCGCCCTCGCACGCGACGACCATGGCGTCGACCATCTCGTCGCGCATCGGCGCGCAGTGCTGCTTGACCGTCGCGCCGAGGAAGCGCGCGAGGCTCGGGATGTCGGCGCAGCCGCGCTCGAGCTGCTGCATGAGCAGGGCCGGGTCGAGGACGTCGAGGAGCTGGTCGCGCGCCGCAAGGACCGGGCTCGAGGCCGACGAGGGCGAGGACAGGTCGGGCGACGAGGGAGGCGAGTTTGCGAAGGTCGACGACGACGACGACGACAGGTCGGGCGAGGCCGGCGCGCTCGTGACCGGGATCGGGAGGAGCGAGACGAAGATGTTGCGGAGCTCGGCGATGAGGAGGGCGATGCGAGAGGGCAGACGAGTTGCGAGAGGGAGGCCGTGAGAGGTCGTGTCGGTCGGGAGGCAGATGCAGGGTCGGACCTCGTCGTCGCAGAAGGTCGTGCAGCGGCAGCCCGTCTCGATCTCGCGAGAGATGGCGGTCCAGTACTGCGCCGCGAGAAGGCGCTTGCGCTCGCCCCTGTTGCGAGGAAGGAGGAGAGGGGTCAGTGCACGTTCGCGACGAGGGAGGAGAAGGCGAGGACGACAACGACGCACCTCTCGCCGTCGTAGTTAGGCCGGAACATCAAATTCGGGTCAAAGACGACGTCGTGGCGCAGTTGCGGGTTGCGCAGGATCTCGTTCAGGTCGAGCTCGCGCAGCGTCGTCTTGGTGACGGGCGGCGCGAGGCTGATCGCCGACAGCGAGCCGCACGGGACGTCGCCGCCCTCGGCGCGAACTCGTGCCGCGTGGAGGGCAAGCAGGTCGTCCTGCGACAGGAAGGCGAAGGAGCCGAACGCGAGCGAGTCGCCGACGCTCGGGCCGGGCGACCGTCGCTGTCGCCGGTCCTCCTCGGCAACGGCCGACGTCGAGCCGGAACGCCTCGTCGGCGAAGGAGGCGTCAGGCGAGGTGCGGGCGTGATCGCCACGGTGGACGAAGACGAGACGGGGCGAGTCGAGAGAGGGAGGGCGGCATGGTCGGCAGGGTTGGGGAGCGAGTAGGCGCGCCGACGGCGAGGTTGAGGCCCGTCTGCTGGCGGTGACGACACAGACGACGATGTCGGTGCCGGGAAGGCGCCCTGCGCGAGACGGGCGGAGGCGGGCGCGAGGTGAGGAGAGGGTGCGGGCGGCTGGGTCGAGGAGGGCAAAGGGGCGATGGCGACGGCGGCGAACGGCGTCGCAAAGACGCCGAGGTACGGCGAGGGCGACAGCGATGCCGGTGCGACGTCGGTGGCGCGGGCGCAGCTCGACGACGACCTCCACGAGCTCGAGTGCGAGAGCCGCGGTCGCCTCCTCCTGCTCGACGACGGCGCCGTGCGGTACGCCGGCTCGGGCGACTCGTCGTCGCGCTCGCCGCCGTACTCGACCCTCCTGCGCTTCTCGTCTGGCGGCGGCGGGTCCTCGCCGCAGCGAAGAGACGCCCGTCGGCCCTTTCTAACCTCGCTCGCGCACCTCGCCTGCCACCTGCTGCCCTCGCCCAGGTCGTGCGCGACGTCCATCTGCACGCCCTGCGAGGCGCTCATGCGCCGCGCCGCTGCGACCTCGCCCGGCGCAGCGAGCGCCGGCTCGTCCCCCGCACTCGCACCGGCGCACTCGACGTCGCCGCCGCCACCGGCGGTGAAGGCGCGCTTGCGCTGCTGCTGCTGCTGCTGCTGGCGTGGCTCGGCACTGGCGGCCGAGATGCTGACGAGAGGAGCTGGTTGAGCGCCGGCCGAGGCGGACGAGGGGCTCGAGGACGAGGACGGGCCGGCGGGCGAAGGGGGAGGTGGCGCGGGGAGGGTTGACAGCTGAGGCGGGTACGGCGACTCCATGACGACGATGGTAGACGAAGGTGCGCCGCTAGTTCGAGGTGCGGGCGCAGGTCGAGAGGTTGAAAGAGACGAAGGGAGGTGAGAGGGCGGGAGGAGGTGCCGCGAGACCGAGAGCCGTCGCCGGTGGCGCGGACGGTGCGAGACGAGACAGAGGAGACAACCGGCTCCTGTTACGCGCGAGAGAGGAGGTCTGGGCGGAGGCGGCGAACGGGCAGCTGCGCGGGGTGGGTGCGTCGCGCGTCCGAGTCGCCTGAGAAGCCGTGTCAGCTGCGGCTGCTCAAGGGGTTGCAATGAGAGGAACACGCGGGCTCACTAGGCGTCGAACAAGTGCGCGCAAGGGCCGCTGCGTCGGTGAGACGGGAGGTGTGAGGCGCGAGTCTCGCCCTGGCGTCCGAGGACGACGTTGACCTTCGAGGCGGGCGCGGACCGGGCGAATTGCGTGGCGCCGGCGTCGTCGCTCGAGCCCGTACGTGTCGCGTTGAAACGTGCGCGCGCGTGTCTCGGTGTCGCGGCTCGGGGCACAAAAGGAGGCGACGAGGTGCGTGCGCGCGTGCGAGCGTGCGTGCGACGACGGCGAGCAAGAGGGGGGGAGGGGGGAAGAGAGGAGAGGAGGCGAGTGGACGTGCTGGGAGCGTTCGCGCACAGAACGACGAGCACGGAAGGCGGCCGAGAGAGGACAGACCGCACCAACCCCGGTCCTGGCTGGCCGCCTGCGGGCTCGCGACGAGCGCGCTGGGCGAGGCAAGGCAAGCGCCCGCTCGGCTTCCGCTTTCCACCTGGCTGCACGACGCGAGTCCCTTCCGTCCCTGAACGAGTCGCTTGCGAGCAGCCCCGCTGCGCCCGGCTCTCGGAAGCTGGACTGGAAGGTGCGACGCAGGTCGTCGCCGAGTTGGGAAGGCCGCCTCGTCGACGCGTGCGGCGTTCGCCTTCCCGCCTCTCGCGCCTTTCCCCTGACCCGGACGACGACAGACGGTCTGTAGGGCCGCTCTTCTCACTGCGTGCAGGCTGCGTACCGGCTGCGGTGAGGCGCGCTCGCGGCAGACTCGCCCGCGCGCGCCCTGAGTCAGCCACGCGCGCGCGCTGCGCCGCCGAAGATGCGAGTCCGGCTTCGAGACGATGGCGACCGACCCGTGTACGAGCTCGCGTGCCCTCGCTTGCGCAGACTCTCTCGTGCGTGCCTTTGTCGCCGTGGGGCGCCGGCGCGCGCACGAAATTGACAACTCGACCGGCGGCAAGCCTTCTCCCCGCGTTCGCTCCCCCTCTCCTGTGGGAACGCCTTGCTCGCGGCCGAGAGAACAGCTACGCTTGTACGAGGCAAGCCTTCTTGTCGCGGCCGCAGAGCTCAGCAGCTAGCAGATCCCATCTCTCAGCCTCAGGCGCCCGATCGACCGCCGGCAGTTTTTGACTTCGTCGCGCGGTCCGAGCCACACGTAGCGCAGATCCCGCTCGACTCTCTCGACGCCGGACGAGGACAGTGCCTTGCTTCTCCTGCTCGCCGATGCACGCAGAAGAGTTAGAGATTGCTGCTCAATGGCATGAGCCCGGCGAGGCAGTTGTCGAGAAAGAGCGAAGGATCGACAGCTTTCCTGCTTTCCTCGCCGAGTGGCCGAGCGCCCTCGCCGCGCCGAACCTCGACAGCTCGACGCTCGAAGCAGCGCACGACGACGAGAGAGAATCCCGATCCGTTGAGCTCAGCCGACGGCGATGGCAGGTGCTCGTGCACGACCCTGTCTTCCTCTCGAGCGGACCTGGCCACGCGCACGAGCAGAGGCAGCGAGCTCATGCCTGGCTCGGTCAACGCGAGCAGCCTGCTCGAGCCGGCGAGAGGGCGCAAGCCAGGAGGCGGTGTGCAGAGCGCGCTCAGGGGCTTGCCCGTAGACGGCCGGGAAGGCGCCGCCTCGTCGAGGCGCGGGTCTGTCTGCTCGCGGCTGCATTGCCCACACACGTCGACGACCCCTGGCCGAGCGAGCGACGACGCTCCTCGCACGAGAGAGCAGGAAAAGGACCGGCCCGAGATGAAAGAGTTGAGCGTGACCGAGGGGTGAGACGCGAGGGGGGAGGAGGAGAGGATGAGACGGTAATGAAGGAGAGCCGCGCAGGGCCAGACACGGCGAACATCGTACAAGCTCGACGAACAAAAGCGAGCGGGTACGACGCTGCAGGCGAGCGCGAGCACAGCTTGCGCGAGTCGGCGACGTCGAGACAGCGCCGACCTGCAGCAAGGGCGAGCGAGCTGAGAGACAGCTGCCCTGAGCGCCTGGCTCCGTGTCGCACGAAGCAGAGACTTAAGCACTCGGCCTTTCAGCGGCACAAGTGGCGTAATGCGGTGTGCAGCCGTCGCAAAGGCTCAGGTCCAAGCGGACGAGGCGACGTCGAGGCGACGGGCACGAGCTGCCGCGCTCACGCAAGCTTGAGAGCGTCGTCACGTGGTGCTGAAGCTGAAGACAGTACGTGCGAGAAGCGCGGCGAGGAGCTCTGCGTAAGAGGGGAAAGCGCGACTCGGACGAGCTGAGGACGACCGCGTCGCGCCTTTGTCGCAGCGCCCGTACGCCCGCCCGAGGCACGCGCCTCGCACGATGCTGCTCGAGTGGCACGGTCGCGCGTAGCAGGGCGGCTCGCTCACGCGGCCCTGCTGCTCAGGTCGGCGTCGCGCGCGAGCGACTGCCGCGCGCCCTTGCGCGTCGAGGGCGAGGCGGCGAGGCGGAAGAGCACGCGCAGCCGGTGCCCAGAGCGCAGCAGAGGGGCGCAGAGTGCAAGTCGAGCCAGCAGAGGTGGTGGTCGAAGCGAGAGAGCGCCCGCCGTCGGGCCGCCCGGCCGAGCGCGGCCGCCGCGACGACGACGTCTTCGCCTCTCTCCCACCTCGACCTCGCAGCGCACACGCACGACATGCCGGCTCCTGTGCCCGTCGCCTTCGACGTGCTCGGCACCTGCTTCAGCTTCGACGGCTGCCGCGAGGCGCTCGTCGACGTCTTCCCCACCTTGTCGTCCGGGCACGCGCAGAGCGTCGTCGACGACTGGTTCCACGCCGCGCAGCGCGACTTTACCTGTGCGTCCCACTCTGGCCCCATCAGAGCGACCGCCAACTGTCCTGTGTGCGCGCAAGCTTACCCGACTCTCCTCCTCCCCTCGCCGCCGCAGACCTCTCGATGAACGGCGCCTACACGCGAGCCTGGTTCCCTTTCTCCCTCCTCGTGCGCGACCACTGACGTACTCTCGAGCGCGCAGGCCCATCGCCCAGGTCCTCAAGGCCACGCTCCCTCGTATCTACCTCATGCACGGCCTCGTCCCCTCCTCTTGCGCCTCCTCTCCCTTCCCCCCGTACCTCACCGACCCGGTCCTGTCGCGCATCCCGACCCTCGACGCACGACCCGGCCTCGACGCAGCCTCGTCCCTCCTCCTCTCGCACGGCTTCCGCCTCCTCGCCGCGACCAACGGCGGGCTCGACACGACCAAGGGCCTGTTCGCCCGCGCGCTCGGCGACGACGAGGCGCGGCGGTGGGAGTACTTTTCGTGCGACGAGGACAAGACGGCCAAGCCCGCGCCGAGCGTGTACCGCGACGTGTGGAAGCGGCTCGGCGTCGACGAGGGCGACGAGAACCAGCACGGGTGGTTTGTCGCGTCGCACACGTGGTGCGTCCTGTCGCTCGTCCCCTTCCCTCCTTCTGGGCGACGATGAGGACTGACTCTCTGCGCTGCAGGGACCTCTTTGCGGCCAAAAAGGCCGGGTGCGTACCTTCTCTCTCGCCCTCTCTTTCTCTCGTTGCGCCAGCATTGACGAAGCGACATGTCCCTCTGCAGGTTCAAGACGGCGTTTGTCACGTACGAGGAGCACCTCACGCTCCCCTCTCTGTTCGGCGAGCCAGACGTCGTCGCGTCGAACCTCGAAGACGCCGCTCAGCAGATCATCTCTCGCGAGAAGGGACGGGCGCAGTGAGGGAGAAAGGTGTAGAAGGGCTATGTGCAAGTGGGGTCGTTACCAATCTGAGGGACAGGGAGAGAGAGAGAGAGAGAGAGAGAGAGAGAGAGAGAGAGAGAGAGAGAGAAGGGAGGAGAGAAAGGGAGAGAGAGACAGGTCGAGGGGTAACAACGAGAGGGAGGAAGGGAGAGGGCACTGCTAGGGGAGGGGGCGACGAGGCGCAGGAACAGGAAGTAGAGAGGGGAGGAAGAGGAAAGGAAGCACAAGTACACGCCGCTCAGGCCGCTCAGAGCTCGACGAGCTTGACCGCCTCGTCGCGCTTGGCGACCTTGCCCTCGAACTCCTCGAGGAACGCGAGCGCGCCCTCGGCGCGCTTGACGACGCCCTCGACCTCGCGGCGCTCGCCGGCCGCCTTGTCGAGCGCGGCGCGGAACCGCTCGCGCAGGTCCCACCCGGCGAGGCGCAGCACCTTGCGCACCTCGCGCGCGATGCGGTCGCTGTGCGCCGACGCGAACGACGCCGGCTGAGACGAGGGCGTGCTCGACGACGAGGTTGCCGAGGCGTCGGGAGCCGAGAGCGAGAGGGCCAGCTTGCGGCCGATGTTGCGAGGGATGGCGCGAGGGAGGTCGACGATGACGTACGCGACGAGGCCGACCGCTGCACGAGGACGCGAGAGAGTCAGTGAGTGCGTCCCTCGAGAGAGCGGCAAAGGCGAGAGGAAGAGAGAGAAAGGGAGAGAGGGGGAGGGAAAGCGAGGACGCACTGAGGACGCCAATGACGGGGCCGGCCCACTTGCGCGCCGACTTGGACCCGAGCATCTCGATGATGCGCGTCACGCTGCCCATCGTGCCCTTGATGCCGATGATGCGCGACCCGACCATGCCGATGCTGCCGAGCCCAAGGCCGATGACGGTCCCCTTCTCGACGACGTCGTCCTCGAGGAGCTTGGTGTGCGCCTTGCGGCCGCCCCGCAGCGCGTTGCCGTGCCCGACCATGCGCTCGAGGTCAAACAGGTCGACGAACGACACGTCAAAGTCGCCCGCCGTCCAGGTGACGCCGAGCCCGGCGCTGCCGAGTCCGAGCCCGGTCGCACCGCCGCGCGCCGCGAGCCGGCCGACGCCCCGACGCCGCTTGGCAAACATGACCTCGGGGCGGAACGTGCGCTCCTTGCGCACCTCGCGCTGCTCGTCGGTCGACAGCTGGGCGAGCGCGTGCGCCTCCTCGGGGAGGTACCGGTCGCCGAGCTCGTCGACGACCGTGTGCACGCCCTGGACCGTCTCGGTGCGGGCCGCGTCCTCGGCGGCGCGCACCTCGGCCTCGAGCGCGAGCACGAGCGTGCGCTTGACCTCGGCGGCCCAGTCCCACAAGCCCATGAGGCCCGGGTACGGCGGGAGCGCCGCCGGGCCGTCGAACGAGTCGGGCTGGCGCAGCGCCGTCGCGGTTGCGGTCGCAGGCGAGGCGGCGTCGGCGTCGGCGTCGGCCGAAGCGGGTGCCACCTCGAGCGGCGGGACGACCTTGCCCTCGGCGACGAACCCGAGCGCGCGCTCGAGCCTGGCCCACGCGGCGCCCTGCACCTTGGCAACGACGCCCTCCTCGACGCGGTCGACGCCCTCCTCGACCTCGTCGCGCTGTGCACTCAGGCGCTCGTGGACGGGCCGGATGCGCTCGAGCTCGGCGAGGGCGGTGCGCAGCTCGGCGTTGGCGGCGACGACGTTGGACGACGCGAGCGTCGACAGGTCGGCGAGGAGGTTGAGCAGGTAGTGCTTGGCCGGCGCGAGCTTGGACTTGGTGCGCTTGAGGAGGACGAACGACCGCAGCGACTGCTCGAGGTGGTCGAACGCCGACGGCTCGTCGTCGTCCTCGGCGGCGGCGGCGGCGGCGGCGGCAGCGCCACGGTGCGCCGACTTGCGCGGGCTCGGCGCGGGCTCGTCGGCGTCGACATGGTCGGCCGCGTCGACAAAGTGGACGAGCTCGGCGCGGTTGTCCCACGTGGCGGGCGACAGCTGCTTGATCTGCTCGCCGACGACGCGCATGCACCGCGCCTTGTCGCGGATGCCGCCCCACTTGTTGACGACGATGAAGACGTAGGCCTTTTCGCGCGACGCGTTCCACAGGAACTCCTTGGCCGAGAGCGTAAAGTGGTTCTCGGCGCTGACGACAAAGACGATGACGTCGATCTCGGACTGGCGCGCAAACAGGGCCGTCGTCGACAGCGTGTCGCGGTTGAGGCCCGGCGCGTCGATGAGCGAGATGTCGACGAGGCCGTTCTTGAGGAGCGACGGGTTGAGGGCCTGCTCGCGCTCGACCGACTCGTCGTCGTGCTCGGGCGCGTCGTCGACAACGGGCGCACGCGCGTCGTGCACGAACGCCTTGACGAGCTGGTACGTGTCGCCCGAGTCCTGCACGTCGTACACGTCGTCGAGCGCGAACCGGTCGTACGTGGCCGGGTCCTTGGCGTCGTACAGGGCGACGTCGCGGATGGCGTGCAGCTCCTCGACGCCGGCGTTGGCGCCCGCGTCGACGACCTCGCAGAAGACGGTCGTGCACGGCTGCTGGTCCCACGGCATGACGTCGCGGCGCAGGAGCGCGTTGACGAGCGTCGACTTGCCCGCGTTGAGGTCGCCCGTGACGAGGACGCGGCTCGCCGGGTCGATGACGCGCGCGCGCAGCTGCGACAGGTGGCCGAGCGAGGTCGTGAGGCGGCGCGACAGGAGCTGCGACAGGGTGCTGAGCGACAGGGAGGGGATGAGGGCCGGCAGCTGCGACGCGGACGTGCTCGGGTGGCCCATCTTGAGGTCGAGCGACAGGATCGACAGCGGGTGCGCCGGCGCAACGGGCGTCGTGTCCTTGGTCGTCGTGGCGGCGGCGAGCGCGGCGGCGGCGGCCGTGTCGGCGACCGAGAAGGCGCGCTGCGGCACCGGGCGCGCGCTCGACGCGGCGGTGGCGGTGGCGTCGTCCTGCGCCTGCGTCTGGGCGGCGGCGGCGGCGGCCGGCACCTCCTCCTGGAAGAGGGACGCGCTGCGGCGAAGCGGCGCCTGGCGAGCGCCCTTGACGGCGGACCGAGGCGGCGTCTGCGGCGCGGCCGACGACGAGGCGCGGTGCGGTGCGGGCGCGTCGACGGTCGAGACGCCGAGCTGGTGCGGGTAGTGGATGGTCCCTGTTGACAGGAGCAGAGGGTGAGCACGCTGGTCGAGGCGGGAGAGCCACGACGACGAGGGGGACGCACACTTGTCCTGGTTGAAGGCGGCGAGGCCCTTTACGAGGCCCTGGGTCTCATCGAGGCTCTCGACGAGGCTGTGTGCAGGCAGGGGAGACACGAGGTGCGAGTCAGTGACGGGGCTCGTCCAACCTGAACCTGTGGCGATCTCGAGAGGAGAGAGAACGAGACCCACGCCTGGCGCTTGTCGGCGTACCCGACCTGCTCAGCCTCGTGCCTGCGGACCGTCTCTGCGTCGATGCCGAAGCGCACGACGGGCGAGGGCGACGCGGGCGCGGCGGCGGTGGCCAGCATGCTCGACCGGCGGCGGTCGCCGATGGGAGACGGGCGCGGCGAAGGGTACGGCGACGACGACGACGAGGGGTGGGCCGCGAAGGGAAACTCTTGCGGCTCGGAGCCAGCGAGAGGGACGGGGTGCTGCATCTCGTGGTGCGCGCTGCTGATGGCGGCGAGACGAGGGAGGAGAGGGTGGCTCGGTCGGGGAGGAACGGTCGACGAGGGAGGGAGGTGTGGCGAGAGGCAGACGAGTGCGGGTGTGGCTGTCGCTGGTCGAGGGTGTGCTCTCTCTGGATGCACTGGGTTTGGTGGGCGTTTGTGCAGGTGAGGAGCGAGCGAGCGAGCGAGGTTGACCAACTTGGCCTCGGCCCCGTCGCATCTCGGTCGAGCTCCAAATCGTGCTCGACTCCCTCTCAGCGACCGCAAGCGAGACGGACAGCGAAACACAGACACGCTCATTGACAACCCCCTCCCGTCAAGCTACGGCCCTGCACCCTCACAAGCTCCCCGCCGCGCTCGCACCTCCTCCACCACCAGCACCACCGCCGCCCGCCGCGCTCCTCGCCACGTCGGCCCGGCGCGTCTCGAGCTGGTCAAAGAACAGGACGTACTCTTTCCGCACCCGCTCCCACAGGACCGGGTCGAAGAAGCTGCGGAGAGCGGGGCAAGGGCGGCCGGGTCAGTGTCCAGCACCTTGACCTCGCCCGCCCGCCGTCGACGACCGAGACAGGAAGGGAGAGAGAGAGGGGACGTACATGTAGCTGCCGCGCTCGAACGTGGCCGTCTTCTGCACGGGCTCGGTGCCGGCCTCCTTGGTGAGCCACAGCCGGAGCTCCTTGTGGTACCGCCAGTTGTGCTTGTACCTGCTCGTGCGGGTGCGCCCGTGTCAGTCGCGCCGCGTCGCACACCCGAGAGCACGCCCGACACAGAGGGAGAGGGGAAGCGAGGGACGCACAGCTCGTGCGCCGCCATCTCCTGCATCGCGTCCCTCGGCTGCGAGTAAAAAATGAAGAAGAGCGTCTCGTCGCTAAAGTTGCCAATCTTGGTGTTGGCCGGCGGGGGCTGCACGTTGTAGCACGACGGGAGGTGGAACTCGGGCTCGATGTTGAGCACGGCCGCCGCCTTCGAGTCGGTCCAGGGCGTGATAAAGGTCGAGTACAGGTTCCTGCGCGTGCGCGAGAGCGCGAGGCGGGAACGTCAGGGTTTCCTGCTCGACCGTGCTCGACACGACGAAGGAAGGAAGGAGAGAGAGAGGGGGAGGGGACGCACTCGGTCGAGCCGAGGTCGAGCCCGAGGTTGGTCAAGTCGGTCCCGAGCGCGAGCATGCTCGTGTCCGGGTCGCTCGTCTTGATGATGTGCAGCAGCCCGAGCAGGCCGTACCGGTCGGCGGGGCTGAACAGGACCTGCTGCGCGGGCGTCTGCGGCACGCCGCCCGTCGTGATGCCCGCAGTGGGTGGCGGGAGCGCGCCAGCTGCCGGTGGAGGTGCGGCGGCGGCGGCGGCGGACGACGGCGAGCGCGGGTCCGGGAGCGACGGGTGCGGCGGCGGAGGATGGGGCGCGTCGGCGGCCGAGGGCGGGAGCGGCGACGACGCGGCGCTCGTGCTCGAGCCGGCCGGGGTCCCGCCGTTGGGCGCGAGGCCCGCCGGGAACCGAGGCGTCTGCTGCGGGCTCTGCGACCACGACTGGCGGCGTGCGCGACAAAGAGTCAGTCCAGCGGCAGGGAGAGAGAGGGTGAGAGCGCGGACGCACCGTCTTGTCCCCACCAGGCGGCGCAAACCCTCCCGCCGCACCCGAGCCCGCACCTCGCTGCGCGTTCATAGCGCCGAGCAAGCTCGCGCGGTGCTGCTGCTGCGCCTGGAGCGCCGCGAGCGCGCTCGCCTGCTCCTGCCCGCCCTGGCTGACGGCGGCCCTCGCGGCAGCGAGCGACAGCGTGTCGACGCCCTGCGCGAGCGCGCTCAAGTCGTTCGCCGCCACCGCCGCCGCTGGTCCTGCGCCGGCTCCTGGTGCCGCCGCGCCCGCGCCGCCAAACATGCTCATGCCCATACCCATGCCCATGCCGGGCGGGAGGAGCGGCTGGCCTGGTGCGGCGGCCGAGGCCGAGGGCGAGGCCGACGAGGTGGTGCCGCCGCTGCCGCCGTTGGCGAGGTGCGGGAGGCCGCCGAGTGCGGGAAAGTCGTCGGACGCGCTGTCGGCGGCCTGGGTGCGTCGCGGTGCGGCGCCGTTCGGGGTGGTGGCGGTGGCGGGCGGTGCTGGCGTGGCCGGGGACGCCTGGCTGGCGTAGCTCGAGAGGAGGTTCTGCTGCTGTTGCTGCTGCTGCTGCTGCTGCTGTTGCTGCTGGTGGCGCTGCTGCTGCTGCTGCTGTGCGAGGTGCTGGTGCGCTTGTTGTGCGGCGAGGTGGGCTGCGGTCGAGGCGCTAGTCGGACCTTGGGGAGCACCGCCGCCGCCGAGGGCGGGGAAGTCGGACGGGTCGAGCGAGGCTTCGGGTGCGGCGTGCGACAGCTGACCGCCTGCAGGCATGGCGAGGCAGGGTGGGACAACAAGTGAATGTCAGGCGTGTGCGCGGAGAGAGAGAGAGAGGAAGGAGGGAGAGAGGAGGAGGAGGGACGAGATGGGGGACGACAACGGCGACGGCACCAGGGGCGACGAGAGTGAGAGCAGGACGCACCTGGTTGTGGGCTCATGGCCTGGAGACCACCCTGCCCCTGCCCGAACGCAAAGGGCTGCCGCAGCTGCTGCTGCTGAGGCGACAGCGGCGTCGAGCCTTGTCGCGACGGCGTCGAGCCGAACCTGCCGCCGCTTGAAGGTGGAGGGCCTTGGCCGAGGCCGTACCCAGACTGCTGTGCTCGGTTCATCGTCGTCGAGCCGGTAGGGTGAGTTGGTCGACGAGGGTGGCGCGGGCTTCTCCCTCCTCCTCCTCCTCCCTCTCCGTCCTCCCTCACACTCGACCGCCTTGACGACTCTCGAGCTTGCGCTCTGCTGCTTCCCAGCTGCACCCTGCTGCGCCCGACTCGAGCGCGCACCGACGACCTGCTCCCCTTTCGCTCGCGCTCAGCTTCCTCTCGTCCTCTCGCGCACCTGCTCCTCTCTCGACGGACCAAGCGACCAGAGACGCACATTGCAACTTCCGACACATGTACAACCTCGAACCCAGCACGTACCTCGCCCCTTCCTCATGCACGACCGACGCCCTCCTCGCCGCTCACTTCTCGATGCGCCCTCCCGACCCCCCTCCCCCTCCTCCACCGCGGCCAACCTCGAACCCCGCACCGTACGCCCGCTCAAGCCCCGCAAGCCCGTCCCACGCGCCGCTCGCCCACTCGTCCCGCCCGGCGCCCTCGCCCTCGCGCTCGCGCTCGCTCGACCCGGCGCGCTCGAGAGGCTGCTGCGCCCGCGCCCAGGCGGCCCACTCGGAGGGCAGCGCCCCCTGCGCCTGCGCGTGCCCGCGCGCATGCTCCTGCTCCTGCTCGTGCTCCCGCTGCGCCTCGTCGCCGCCCCAGTCAACGGGCGGCGCTCCTCCTCCTCCCTGCGCCCCCTCGCTCGCCGCCCCGCCGACGCCCCACACGCCCGCGCCCGTGCCCGCGCCCACGCCCACGCCCGGGTGCGCCGCACTCGCCGCCGCCGTCGGGTCGGGCAAGCCCGCGCCGGTCCAAGTCCACGTCGGGAAGAACGGGAGCGGGTGCGGCGGGGCCGTGAACGTGTAGGTGGTCGACGAGGGCGGGAGCGAGCTCGGGCCGGGGCCGGGGTGGGAGAATGGGGTCGAGGTCGAGAAGGAGGGAGGGGCCGAGGTGGTGCTGGTGCCCGGGGTGCTCGAGGGGAAGAGGGGAGGGTGCGAGTGGCGGTGGACGTGCGAGTGCGGGTGCGGGTGCACGTGCGGCGAGCGCACATGGTCGAGCATCGACGGCAGGCCCGGCACCGTCGACGCCGACGACGAGAACCCGGACGAGGGCGACGGCGCCGCCGCCGCGGCCGCGACGAACGGCGCGAGCGGGTGCTCGGCGCTCGCGTACAGGTCGGGCGCGCCCCTCGCCGGTGTCGTGCCGAGGCGTGCGGCGTGCGCGAGCGCCTCGAGCGAGTAGCTCGGGTGGCGGGGCGGGGTCGGGAGCGGGAGGGCGTGCGTCGGGGTGGAGGAGGAGGGGGGAACGGGAGGAGGTCCGCGCGCGCCGCCCTCAGCCTCGAGGCGCGCGATCTCGGCGCGCAGGCGAGCGATCTCTCGCTGAGCCGCCGAAAGCTGCTCGCCGAGGGCCGTCGTTTCGTCTCTGCAGGAGGAGGTGCGAGAGGGAGGAGGAAGCGGGTCAGTTGGCGGGGCTCGCGCGAGAGGAGTATGAGAGAGGAAGAGGGGGCGCACGGCGTGAGAAAGTCGGCGCCGATGTAGACGCAGTCCTGCGGGTGGACCCAAGACAGTGAGCTCTGCGTCGTCTCGAGAGGGGGGAGAGAGAGAGAGGGCGAGGAAGAAGGGAGACGAGGGGACGCACCGTGCCGCGCAGCCTGCAGTTGGAGCACGTCTGCTCCCTCGAGCACTTGGCCTTGCGCTGCCGACACTGTCTCCTCCGAGGCGGTCCGAGGCGGTCCGAGGTGACGAGAGGCGGCGAGGGGAGGGTTTGAGAAGGTCAGCTTGCAACTCGAGAGGCGCCGGCCGAGAGAGAGGGGGAAAGAGGGGACGCACGCCCTCGCACGAGACGACCTTGCGACGCCTCGGACCGCCTTGAGGTGTCGGCAGGGCGGCGGCGGCCGTCGCGGGACGAGGCGGCGGTGGAGGGCGCCACTCGTCATCGTCGTCGTCCTCCTCGAGGTGCTCGACGTCTTGCTCGCCCTCGTTCGACGGCGACGACGGTGACGAGGCGCTCGACGGCATTGCCGAGGCCGGTAAAGGGGAAGCTAGCCAAGAGCGAGTGAGAGGGAAGAGGGAGAGAGGGAGAGCCGCTCCGTCCTCCTCGCACGAGGGATATCCCTCCTCGCCGCCGGCGCTCTCATCGCCTCGGACCAGCTCGACGAGCACACAAAGAGAGAAGGGAAAGACGAAAAGTACAGCACACGGGGGGCGCCAGTCCTACTCACAACGTGCCCCTCGCTCCACCCACCTCTCGGCCCGCTCGCTCCTCGCCCTGCCGGCTCGCCGCCGCCGCCGCCCTCGCACACCCGCACCGCTCAGGTGAGCGCCGGCTCCTCGGCGATCGAGCGCTTGATCGTCAGGAGGAGCGCCGTCTTCCACGCGTCGAGCTTGGTCAACCTGCAAGTCCGGGCGTGAGAGAGAGGGAAGGGGGCGAGTCAGTGACCGGCTCGACGGGCTCACATGACCGAGAGAGGGAGAGAGACAGCGAGAGAAATTCAGAGGGCGCACCTGTCGTACTCGGCCACGTGCGCCGTGTACTCCTCGGCGTCGCCCGCATCGAACGCGTCGGCGATGGCCTCGAGGAACTTTGCCTCGCGCGTCGTCGCAAAGCTCGGGTCGGCGGCGCAGTACGAGTCGACGGCGCGCTTGGTCGACACGACGTCGCCCGTCGCGAGCCAGCACAGGCCCGCCTTGAGGTAGTGCTCCTTGACGCCGTACCGCGTCAGGGCCGACCCGAGCGACTGGGACGCGACGCGCTCAAAGAGCGACACGGCGCGCGGGTACTGGCCGAGGGTGCCGGCGAGCTCGGCCGCCTCCTTGTAGCACGCGTTGGCGGATCTGCAGCAGCGAGAGGGGGAACATGTGTGCGAGGGTCAGGCCGAGGCGCACGAGGGAAGAGAGGCGAGGGGAGGGGAAGGAGGGACGCACGCAGCAGCATCCTCATTCATGTAGATGTCGCCCGCCGCCTCGTACGCCTCGAGCGAGCCCGCGAGGTCGCCTCCCTCCTGCTGCAGGATGGCGGCAATCTCCTTGTGCCGGTCGGCGGCCTGGCGGAACCGGCCCTTCTCCTTGTACAGCTGAATCGTCTTTTGCAGCGCGGCGACGGCGACTGTCGGGGCACGGAGAGTAGGTCAGTCTCGGGGGCCCGTTGCGAGAGAGGGAGAGGGAGAGGGAGGCGCACGCTCGGGGTTGGACTTTTTGTAGGCCTTGCTCGCGGCCCAGAAGTCGTTGGCGGCGTCGTCCTTCTCGTCGTTGCGGAGGGCCATTTCGGCGGCGAGGCAGAAGCACTCGCCGGCCTGCTGATGGAGGTTGTCCATCTTGAAGGCGTTGGCGGCCGACTGGTACAGGTCGTGCGCCTCCTCGAACTTTGTCGACGACGACGAGAAGAAGGAGAAGCCGGACGACGACGCGGCCTTCTTCTGGGCTCTGTTGGGTGCACGTAGGGCGGGGCGAGGTTGGAAGGGGGAGGAGGAGGAGATGACGATGCGGGTCAGTGAGGGGACGTGGAGGGACGGGGCGAGGACGAGGGCGTACTTTGCCTTGAGCTGTTCACCTTGGGACGACATGCGAGGTGGTTCTGCCGAGTAGGGGACGAGGGAGAGAGCAGCGAGGGTCGAAGTCGGGTGTGGGGAGATGAGAGCGGCCTCACACGTCTCTCTCTCCCTGGACCGCCTGGGCGAGCATCGAGTCGCTCAGTCACGCTACAGCTCGACTGTGCTCTGCTCTGCTCGAGCCGAGCACACCAGCCCCTCGCCGCCGCCTTGCTCTCGCTCCCCCCTCGGCGTCACTCGCTGTCTCTCCGCTCGCGCCCTCCCAGCCTCCAGGCGGACGAGCACACGATGAGAGGCTCACTGCTGCTCTTGCACCCGCTGCTTCCTCGAGCCCAGCCATGTCGCTCTCTGCGCGCACCCACGCCTTCCTCGACCGCGTCCACGGCACCTCGTCGTCCTCCTCGAGCAAGGGCCGCGCCCACCCTCTCCTTTCCGACACCGCCTTCCCCTCGCCCTCGCCACTGCCGCCACCGCCCCGCCGCCCAGCAGGCACCCGCCTGCGCCCCGGCACACGCGCCCAATCCGCCTTTCCCTCGTCGGCCGACCCCTTTTCCGCACCGCGCCCGTTCGCCGACTTTGACGACTCGCCGTTCGCCGTGCAGGAGTACCTCGCCGAGCTCGTCAGGCGCGACGCGCACGACGTCGACGAGCTCGTCAGGGTGCCGGTGGCAGAGGGCGACGACGAGGGCGAGCCTGGCGGCGAGGGAGCGAGGGAGCTCATCGACGAGCATGTCTTCTGCCTCGAGCACGTTCGGTGCGTCCCCTGCTCTCTATCTCTCGCTCCTCTCTGTGCTCTGCCCTGTCAGCGAGTCCCCTGAGACGCTCGTCAACCCCCAACCCGCAGGCGCCTCACGCTCGACCAGCACGTGTGGCTCGCCGCCCTCGAGCGCGTGTGCACCCCTGCAACGTGCCCCTCGATGACGACGACGCCCTCGTGGCTCTTTGTCTGCGCCGGTCCGCTCCCCTCACCCTCCCCTCCTCCTCCTCTCCCCTGGCCACCGCTGACCCACCTCCCCGCCCCGCCTCGCCTCACAGCGCACGCGACACCCCCCTCGCCACCCTGCAGCGCCATGTCGTACATGTTGCACACGTCCGAGGGCGCCCAGGCCCTCCTCACGAGCCAGAGGTACTTCCCCTCGCGCCTCGCCGTGCCCGACCAGGGCAGGAAACTCGTGCGCGCCGTCGCGAGGAGGCTCTTTCGCACGTTTGCCCACTGCCACTTGTGCGTCCTGGGCGCGCTCTCTCTCTCTCTCTCTCTCTCTCTCTCTCTCTCTCTCTCTCTCTCCTCTCTCGAGCAAGCGAGCTCTCCCTCTGTTGCCAGCACAACCGCCCTTCCCGCCCCCCTACCTCGCACCCCGCTCGAGCCCCCTCCCTTTCCGCCTCCCTGACGACCCCCCCTCCTCCGCCCGCCACAGCCACCACCCAGCCCTGTTCGTCCACCTCGAGAGCGACACGTCGCTCGTGCGGCGCTTTGCGGCGCTCAACGCGCGGTTCGCGCTCGTCGACGAGGACGCCGGCGAGCTGCTGCTGCTGCGGGTCGGGAGCGAGGGGGAGGGCGAGGGGCACGAGGAGGGGCACGAGGAGGGGGAGGACGCGCTCGAGGAGGAGGACGACGTGGACGAGGACGAGGACGAGAACGGCGGGATCAGGATCGTCGGCGATGCGGCGGGCGACGACAGCCTGTAGCCTCGCGACTCTCGGACAGACTTGCATGGCTCGCAGTACCTCACGATCGAGCAGTCTCTCTCTCGAGAGCGAGCGGGCCACGTCTCTTTCCGCTGAGCTGGGAGGGAGACGCGCCGTGCGCGCTCGTCTATTGCACCCCTGCGTCGTCCGGTCCCCTCGCTCGCTCGCTCGGTCCTCACGCGCTCGCCTGCGCCTCCTCGGCCCTGCGGACCGCCTCCTGCCCCGCCTCCCTGAACGCCTCGAGCGCCCTCTTTGCGCCCCCCTCCTCGATGCTCCTCCTCGCCATCTCGACCCCCTCCCTCTCGTCCCTCGCCTTGCCCGCAACGACGAGGAGCGCGGCAGCGTTGAGCACGACAAACGTCTCGATCGGTGTGTCGCGCTCGAGGTTGCCGTCGAGGAGCGAGGTGAGCGTGAGAGAGTTGTCGAGCGGGGTCCCGCCCGCGACTGTGCTGAGCGGGGTTGGGCGCAGGCCGAAATCGCGAGGGTGCACGACTCGCCGCGTGATGGTGCCGGCGTTGAGGTCCCACACCTGGTTTTTGCGCGCGTACAGGGGGGCAGGAGAGCGAGAGTCAGTGCTGGGTTCGAGAAGAGTGCGAGGGGGAGGGAAGGAAGGAGAGAGAGAGGAGGGAGAGGGGAAGAGGGCGACGCACGTGCGTGTCGCCTGCCGGGCTGATCTCGTCGAGGCCCTCTGCGCCACACACGACCCACGCCCTCTCGACGCCCGTGATGCGGAGTGCCTCGGCAAACACCTCGCCGAGGTACTCCGAGTGGACGCCGACAATCATGGCTGCCGGCCGCGCCGGGTTGATCAAGGGCCCGAGCGCGTTGAACACGGTCGGGAACGCGAGCTGTTTGCGGATCGGTGCGACGCGCACCATGGCTGGGTGGTACGAGGGGGCAAAGAGGAAGAGGAAGGGCGAGCGAGAGGCGACGGTCGACAGGGACGAGGGGGGGAGGGTCGTGACTGGGCAGCCGAGCGAGAGGAGGATGTCGGCCGAGCCAGACGACGACGTTGCCGCCTTGTTGCCGTGCTGTGCGCGCGTGAGGATCACGGTGAGCTGTCGATGTCCCTTGAGCGAGAGGAAGAGAGAGCGAGAGGGACCACGAGGGGGCGCACCTTGTAGACGCGCAGGCCTGCGCCAGCGGCGACGATGGCGGCCGTGGTGCTGACGTTGAACGTGTTGTGGCCGTCGCCGCCGGTGCCGACAATGTCGCACACGGGGCCGTCGCCATAGTCGCCGACGTGGACGGCGAGGGCGTGTCGGCGCATGACCTGGGCGACCTCTGCGACGACCTGGGGCTGGCCGTCCTTGGCGGTGAGGCGCAGGGCCGAGAGGAAGGCGCCGACCTGGGACGGGTGGGCGCCGTTTGGGTGGGCGAGGTGGTCGAACGCGGTGCGGACGTCGTCGAGGGTGAAGGTGGACGGGTGGAGGACGAGCTTCTTGACGAGGAGGGCGAAGGCTTCGGGGGTGAATTCATCTTGTGTGGGACCTGGCTGCGAGGTAGGCGGTGGTGCCGGCGAGTCTCTGTCGGAGCGGGGGTGAGTTGAGTTGAGTCGAGATGAGACGAGGAGGAGGAGGAGAAGGGAGGGGTGCGCTCACCCGATGATGCTGGTGACGGTCGGGTCGTTGGGTGCAGTACCTGCTCTAGTCGACTCCATTGTCGGTGGTGCAGCTGGTGGTGGCTGAGGGGAGTTGACGACCCGTCGAGCTGATGAAGTCGACGAAGGGAGAGCTCCCCCTTCCCTCACTCTGCACCCCCAGAGCCGACTAGCTGCAGACACGGCTGTCTACTGCTCGACTCTGTCCACCGACCCACCCAACCTCACCCAGCCTCGAGCCGTCGTCGCCACCTCGCGTCGCTCCCCACCTCCGCCCCCGGCCCTCCTCACCACCTCGAATGCCTCCCGCTCCTGCACGCGCAAAACGCCTCGCACGCGAACTACAAGAGTGCCGCAAAGACGTCCGTCCCCTCCTCCCTCCCCTCGCCGCGCGCCTCGCTCACCTGCCCTCGTCCTCTCGCAGGCCGACATCGACGTCGTCCAGGTCGGCGACTCGATCGACCACTTTGTCGGCTCGTTCAACGGGCCATCAGGTCCGCCCCTCTTTGCCCCCTCGCCCGCCGAGCCTGTCCCCGCTGACAAGCACGCGTAGGGACCGCGTACGAGGGCGGCCGGTTCGAGGTCGACATTGTCGCGCCCGACCGTTACCCGTTCGAGCCCCTCAAGATAAAGTTCGTCACAAAGGTGCGCCCTCATCTCACTCTCTCAAGGGGCTCTGACGATCGCGCCTGACCCTCGCTTTCTCGCACGCCGACGCAGGTCTACCACCCGAGTGCGTCCTCTCTCTCTCCCGCTCTGCCAGGATCAGCCCGGGCTCATACGCCGACGCACCCGCAGACATCTCGTCAGCCTCGGGCTACATCTGCCTCGACATCCTCAACAAGTCGTGGTCGCCGTCCGTCCCCTCGTCCCCTCTCGCCGCCTCGCCTCGCCTCGCAAGACCGTACTGATCCTCGCCCTGAACCCTCCCTCGCTCTCACGCGCAGCGTGTACACGCTCCGCACGTGCCTCGTCTCGCTCCAGGCGCTCCTGTCGTCCCCCGAGCCGACCGACCCACAAGACGCCGAAGTCGTGCGTCGCCCACCTTTCTCTCTCTCTCCCTCTCTCTCTCTCTCTCTCCTCAGCCATTCGAGCAGCCCTCTCTCCCTCTCCCTCTCCCCGCACGCCGTCCTGACCCGTCGATGTCGCGCAAACAGGCCAAGCACTACCTGACCGACCGCCGCGGCTTCGAGGCGACGGCAAAGTTCTGGACAGAGGTGCGTCGCTGTCTGCGCCTGCGCCTTGGCCTCGCCGAGCCGAGCCGGCGCTCTTTCCCTCTCTCTCTCTTTCTCAGTCTCTATCGAGAGAGAGAGAGAGCGCGCGAGCGAAACGTTACTGACCCTGCTCGACGCCCCGCAGTCGTACGCCGCGCTGCCATCCCGCCCCGCGCCCGCACCCGCGCTTGCGACCGCGCCGACCTCGCGACCGAGCAGCGCGGCATCGCGGCGGCGAACGGCGTCGGGGCGGGCGACGAGCGACGATGAGGCAGGGGGAGGGGGAGGGGAAGGCCGAGGGGCGAGGAAGAGGGGCGAGGCGCAGCAGCAGGAGGACGAGAAGGAGAAGGAGAAGGAGAAGGAGAAGGAGCGCACGGATGGGCCCAAGACGCTCGCCAGGTTGGCGGGGCTCGATTATCGGGACGTGCAGGCGTGCGTTGGGCGCGCGCGCTCTTTCTCTTTCTCTCTCGGGGGCCTCGTGTTGCGTCTCGCGCCGGTGAGCCTTGGCCTGACCTCTCGGACCCTCCCTCCCTCACAGTTTCGCCGACATGGGCTTCCCACCCGAGCACGTCGTCGACACGCTCAAGTTCCTCAACTACCGCGACGGCAACAAGGCCAACGTCGGCGAGGAGGCCGTCGTCATGCGGCTCATGGGCTGAGGCGGCGGGGCCGGCGCGGCGCGAGGGGAGGTGCGAGGCCTGAGCGAGGTCTGAGCGAGACGAGGGGCGAGGCGAGGGGGGAGGAGGAGAGGCGGAGAGCAACGCGCATGCTGCAACGGCGACCTATCTCGAGCTAGTCAAGAGAGCGTCGACCCAAGAGAGCGAACTCGCTCTCGAGAGAGGCGCTTCTCAAGCCCGCCCGCTCGAGCCTCGTCTGCACCCCTCACTCGCTCTCGCTCTCGCTCGCCGCCGCGCATGCAAGATGGATAGTCCAGTCAACACGATGCACACCTCGAACACTCTAAAGAGAACGACACAAAGAAACACGGCCCTGCCTCGCCGCGCCGACGCGGCGCCGACCTAAGACGGGACCCTGACGACGCGCACGACGGCCCGTCCACCGGCGCCCGCCCCTCGCGGCGCCCCCGCCCACCGCTGCGCGACGAGCCTGAGCGCGGCGAGCGGGCCGAACCACCCGGGGCCCGCCGCCGCCGTGAGAGGAAGAGGGTGCGGCGAAAAGGCCGAGCGCGTCTCGGGCGAGAGGAACGGCTCGCTGTCGAGGCTGGATGCGCCGGCGCCGAGGAACGAGAGGGGCGAGAAGGAAGCCGAGTCCGTCGAGGAGGGGAGGTGGAAGAGGGCGGGAGGGGCGAACGGGTCGTGGTAGACCGTCTGGAACAGGGCGAGGGCGTGCGAATTGGCGAGTCTGAGTGGGCGTGCGAGCTGGGTCAGGGGCTCGAGTCCTTCGAGGCGGAGAGAGAAGAGGACAGGAGAGAGTGTGTGGGGCGTACCGCAGGAGGAAGAGGAAGAGGAGGAGCTGCGCGACGAGGGCGAACACGAGCCATTGCGAGCGGCGGCGCGTGTCGGCTGCGAGCGACGACCCGACGGCTTGCGCGACCTGCTCCCGAGGACGAAGAGGGCGTCAATAGGCGTTAGGAGAAGAGGGAGGGGGGCGCAGGACGAGGAGAGGAGACGCACCTGGTCGCCGACGAGCTGGCCGATGCCCTCGATGCTGCGCTTGAGCTCCTCGACCTTGGACCCGAGGTCGTGCTCGAGCTCGTACGTCTCGACGAGCTGCTCGAGCATGCCGGCGCGGCGAGTCTGTGCGCGAGACCCAAAAGGACAATCAGTGACGGCTCCCGGTGTCGGGAGGCGGACCGAGCGAGGGAAAGCGCGACGCACCGCCTCCTGTCCTCCTCGCGCCTCGAGCTCGCGCATCTCGTGCTCCCTCGCCGCCCACCTCGCCTCGCTCTCCCTCCTCCTGCGCTCCACCGCGCCGCGCAGCTCCTCCTCGCGCTCGAGCCGCCGCATCGGCCCCTGCTCCTCCTGCCCCTCCTCCTCCTTCTCGAGAGCGGCAGCGGCAGCGACGCCCGCCGCCCGACTCGCCGTCAGCGCCTGCACCGCCGCCGCCAGCTGGCCCACGAGCGCCTGCACCGTGTCCTCGGCCGAGCGGTCCCCCTCTGGCTCTCCCGCTTCCCTCCCGCCTGGCTCGAGCCCATCGCCGCCGCCGCCGCCGAACGACAGGAGCGGCGGCGCGATGGCGCGAGGAGGCGTGCGCCGAGGCGACTGTGGGTCGACGTGCCCGCCGCGAGGAGGCGTCGAGGACGCCGGGCGGGTCCAGCGCTCGCGCTCTGGGGGCGGCGAGAGCGGCGGCTGCCGAGCGGGCGGCGGCGACGGGTCGAGGTCGAGATCGAAGTCGGGCGCTCGTCGCGAGGACGACAAGGGGGCGGAACGAGGTCGAGCGGGAGGAGCGGCGCTGAGTAGGGGGGCAGCGCCGCTGTCGGGGGGTGGGCTCGCCGACGAGTGCGAGCGCCGCATGAGGTCGGGGCGCTTTGAGCGGCGCAGGGGCTCGGGCGAGTCGGGCTCGAGAGGTGGTGGGAGAGGCGGGAGGGTCGGCGAGGGAGGAGGGAGCGGTGGGGTGGTCGAGCGCTCGCGCTGCCGGTGCGTCGGCGGCGGCGGCGACTGCGCAGGCGAGGTCGACGGACTGCGCCGCCGAGGTGGGGGCGACGCAAAGCGCACGCTCTGGCTCGCGCGCAGCGGCGCCGCTCGCTGGCGAGCGAGGGACGCGCGCACGTCTGCGTCGTCCGAGGGCGACTCGTCTGCCGACTGCTCGTCCCGGCGCTCCTCGTCCCGCCGGAACGAGCGCGCCATGGCAAAGTCGATGGCGCTTCGTCCCGCCTCCGCGCCGTCGACGTGCTCGTCCCGCTCGGCCCTCCTCTCGTGCTCCTGCTGCCCCTCGACAACCCGCCCGTGCACGTCGAAGCCCGCGCCGAGCTGGCCCTCACCCTCGTCACGCCCTCGTCCCGTGTCCACCGCCTCGCGCTGCGCCTGACCGAGGTGCCGCAGGGCGCGCTCGAGTTTGGTCGGCCTCGAGGGCGTCTCGACCCCGCCGCCCTCCTCGGCCTCGCGCCTGCGCAACGAGCGCTCGACGGGCAGGCTCGTCGAGGGCACGAACGCGTAGTGGCCCACCGGGTGCGGCGTGGGCGGTGGCGGGCTCGCGGCGGCGGCGAGGGTGGCGCGGCGCTCTGCCGAGTGGGCGAGGGCGCCGTCGGGCCCGGTGATGAGGCGCGAAAAGGCGTCGTGGATCTGGCTCGCGGGCGTGCCCGTCGCGGTAGAGGTGGGTGTCGGTGGAGGGAAGAGGGCCGAGTCGGGGCGGAGCGGGGTCGACGAGGAGGGTAAGGGGAACGAGGCGGCGGGGCGGAACGACGAGGGCTTGCGGGCCGAGCCGGGGTAGGCGCCGGGCGCTGCGGGCGTCGTCGGCGGCGGGTGACGGCTGCGCTTGGGCGAGCGACGAGGCGTGGAAGACGACATGCGCGCGTCGACGTAGGACGCGAGGTCACCCACCCTGCTCCGTCGAGGTCGAGGCGAGCTCGACTCGCCCTCGTCGCTCGCCGCGCGCCCGGGCTGCTCCGTCTCCTGGTCCTCGCCGCCGTAACCCTCATCGACGAGCGCGCCCTGCCGCCCCAACGACAGCTCGACCCGTGCGCGCCGCACCGTCACGTCGTCGTCGCCGTCTCGAACCGTGGACGAGAACGCGCCCGGCTTGCGCGTCACGTCGTCCTCGCGGTCGACGAGGGTGCTGCTGCCCGTGCTCGGGCTCGGCGCGTACAGGTCGCCGGCGTGGCGGTGGTCGCGGCGGAACGAGAGGGCGAGGCGGGCGGACGAGCTGGCGAAGGGCGTGGTGCCGTCGCGAGGCTGGGACAGCTGGAGGAGGCTGCGGCGCGTCAAGGGCGGGGTCGTGGAGGGTGTCGGTCGGTCGCTGGCGTGCAGGTGGCGGTCAATGTCGCCCTGGGCGAGGTCGAGGTCGAGTGATTCGGTGTCGCTCGCGTGCAGCGGGTGGTCGTCGTCGTCGGGGCCTTGCGGGTCGGGTCGGCGGTGGGCGCGGTGGCGTACCTTGCGGGGTGTCGAAGTGTGGACGTGCTCGAGGTCGAACGAAGGGTCGTCCGAGTCCGAGTCGAGGCGGGGAGCGAACGGGCGAGATGAGGACGACGTCGACGCGTCGCTGGCCTCGGATGGCGCAAACGGCGGCGGGAGCGACATGCAGAGGGGTCTAGTCGCGTCTCGAGCCGGCAGCAGCCTAGGTCTGCATCGAGCGAGTGGTGCGCGACGAGGAGAGAGCCTCGCTCGACTTGTTGGTGTCGCTCACTCTCGCTCGTCACCGCCAGGACAGCTTGAAGCTCGTGCAGCTGGTTCTGCACGCTTATTCAAGCCGGCTCGACTACGTCACGGAACCGTTTGACGAGTGCGGCAGCTGCTTCGCCCCGCTTCCTCGCAAAGGCCAACATGGTCCTCTTCTTCTCGTCCAACGCGCTCGGCGACGACAAGCCCGTCGTCATCTACGCAGGCAAGGACAAGGTGAGCCCTCGCCCATCTCGCGCTTGGCAACGAGGCGCACGAGCTGACCCGTTTCCTCCTCGCCCATAGTTCGAGAGTGCGTCCGCCTCTCCTCGCCTCGCCCTCGTTCTTCCGGCCGCCTGACAACCCTTCGACGCAGACGAGGAGCTCCTCAAGCACTTTATCCCCGAGCAGGACGTCTGGGTTCACGTCGACAAGGTGCGCCTCGCTCCCTCGCTCTCTCTCCCTCTCGTCCTCGTGCGCTTGCTGACCCCTCCTTCCAACCTGCAGCTCAGCTCGCCGCACATCTACCTGCGCATGCCCGAGGGCATGGAGTGGGACAAGATTCCCGAGAAGCTCCTCCTCGACGCCGGCCACCTGTGCAAGGCCGGTTCGATCCAGGTGCGTCCCTCGCCCTCTTGTCCTCGCGGCGCCCTGCGCTACAGGTCGAGACACCGAGCCTTTCGGCGAGCCCACAAGTCTGTGGTCGCCGTTCGTGTAGAGCCTCACTGACGAACCCACCCACCGACAGGGCAACAAGGTCGGCGTCACCATCATCTACTGCCTGGCGACCAACATCCTCAAGCGCGGCGACTTTGCGACGGGCTCGGTCACGTTCCACGACCCGCGCAAGGTCCGCCGGTTCCGCATCGACGAGCGCGAAAACGCCGTCGTCAACCGCCTCAAGTGCGCCCCTTCTTCCTCCTCATCTGCGTCGGGACCCTGGCTCTGACCCGCGCCGCGCCCTCTCGCACCTACACGCGCAGCAAGACCAAGCGCGAGGTCGAGGTCGACCACGAAGCCGAGCGCACCCTGCGCGACTCGGCGCGGCAGCGCGCAAAGCGGCTCGCGGCGACCGAGCTGCGCAACGCCGAGCTCGCCGTCGCGCGCGCGCGCAAGGCCGACGTCGAGGCCAAGAGCTACGAGCGGCTGCATCGAGGCGAGGGGACCGAGGCGTGGGAGGAGGACCGGTGGGAGGCGAGTCGCAAGGAGGGCGAGGTGCGCTCCATCTCTCTCTCTCTCTCTTCGTCTCGTACTCACATCCTCGACTGACACTTTCCCTTGTCGGCAGTTTGACGGCGAGGAGGACTTTATGTAGCGTTCGCGTCGTGTCAAATCCCTGTACCAACCGCCCCAACGAGAGCTTCTCGCCAGTCAGACGAAGTCAACCAGACGAGCGGCTCGAGCCTCACTCGAGCCTGATACGCGGTCTCACAGCCTCTCGAGCGCCTTCAGCCGGTCCGCTCTAGCCTCGAGAGACGTCTGTGAACTCGAGAGAGCCGCCCTGAGCGAGAAGCGTGCACAGCGAGAGATCGCTCGACTTGAGAAGGTCGCAACGAGCGCGAGCACGAGGTGCGAGCCGGTCGCCGCGCACGACGCCTCGCTGCACCTGCGTGCGCCGGCGTACGAGAAGTCGCAGGGTCGAGAGATCAAGCGAGAGCAGGGAGAGAGAGAGAGCGGCCGCCGCAGCCGAGGCGAGCAAGAACGGGTCTGAGCGAGAGCGCGCGGCGGTCGAGGCGGGGCTCGACTCGCGACGCCCGGCTGGGACCCACGAGAACGACGACGAGGAGAGGCGCAGCTGACACGAAAGAGGCGGCGCGACGTGGCAGCGAGGTCGAAACGACCCGCCGGGCCGACGACGGCGGCAACGACGAGCGCGCGCTAGAGAGAACGAGAGCTTTCCGGACAGTCCCGCCCAACCACACGTCCCACAAAGGGAGACGAGGGTCGCGGGACACGGCAGGGGTGGGTCCACCACCTCGCACTGCAGCCCGGCATGCATGAGCGCCCGACACCCTCTCACTTGGAGGGGGGAGCCGAGCGCTCGCCGGGTGGAACGCTACAACAACGGGGATGACGGCGTCTGGGTAAGGGGGGGTGCTAGAAGGAAGGAGGGGGGAGAGGGGGTTTAGGCCTCGATGGTCTCCTGCGGGGCGGCGACCTCCTGCTCCTCGTCGGCCTTGGGGACCTCGGCGTACATCGGGGCGAGAATGATCTCGAGGTGGGTCGGCGACGACTGGTACGGGTTGATGCGACCGTGAGCGCGGTAGGTGCGGCGGCTGTAGAGGTCGAGAGAAGGGAGGGGGAGGACGGGGTCAGTGCGCGTTCCGAACGACGACGACCACGACGGAGCGAGCCAGGGACGCACCGCATCTTCGGGGCCTGCTGGACCGAGATGTTCTTGACCATGAGCTCGTCCTTGTCGAGGCCGTTGGCCTCGGCGTTGGCCTGGGCGTTCTTGATCAGGGCGAGGAGGAACTTGGCCGACTTGACGGGCCAGCGACCCTGGACGACGCCGTGGACCTTGGCCTGGGCAGTGCGGCCGACGGCACCGTTGTGGCGGCGGAAGGGGATGCACGCCGTGTGGGTCTGCACCTCCTCGAGGAGCTTGATCGCCTTGGCGAGGGTCAGGCCCGAGACGGCGGCGGCGGTCTCGCTGCAGAGGGGCAACACAGTGAGCTTCTCTGCGGCTCTTGGGAGGGAGAGAGATAGGGACGCACCGAGTGTTCTTGTAGTGAACACGGAGGTACGAGCCCTTCGAGATGCCGACCGCCTTGCGGTCCTTGATGAGGTGCGACTGCGCGTACTTGCCCTGCAGGTGCGTGAAGCCGAGGTCAGCACAGTGCTCTGAACACGTCGGGTAGGGTGCTGGAGCGGCAAGGCGAGTTTGGCGGGTCGTCTGGCCGTCGAGGTCGCAGGGTCGAGCACGGGCACGGCGACGACGGCTCGCTCGTGCGCAGCTGGCTCGTTCCGCCGCAGGACGGCGGGCACCCTGCTGCACGTGTCGAGCTGCCCAGCGACACGCCCCACCGGCGCTCGCCTGCCGCCGCGCCGTGCACCGCCGCGAGCTCGACGACCTCCATCCTCATCGCCAGCTCGCCCGCTCCCGCGCGAGCTCCAGCTCTAGATGTGGCCGCCGCTGCCGTGCTCGCAGAGCGCTCTGTCGCGCACCATGGAGGCGACGGGCGAGCGAGGCGTCGAGTCGAGGTGGTCGACAAGTTTGCGGAGGGTGAGGCGGACGAGGGCGGCGGCGGGAGTGGGTGCGGTGGGGTGCAGCTGGCGGTGCTGTGGACGATGGTGGTGGAGGGCAGGCGCAGACTGACCATTGTTTACGAGAGGGTTGACCGGGTGCGAGACGGGGGAACCAAGCGAGGCGAGGCCGGCCGCAGCGAGCAAGAGGCGAGCTCGCCTCTGCCGCCGCCGCCGCGCGCACCCAGCTCTTCTCCACCTCCGCTCTACAGCTTCCTGTCGCACGCTCAGACTCTCGCTCGAGTGTGCCTGTCTGCTGGGCGACTGGGCCCGCCGCGAGTCGGGCTGCTGCGCTGGCTCGGTGCCCTGCGCTCCGCCGCCTCCTCGACTGGCTCTCCTGCTCGACTCGCACACTGTGCAGCGCTCAAGACCAGCTGGGCTCGACGAGTCTACGGTGTACTGCGACCGTGCCGCCTCGTCGCCTCGCTACATGCCGTCCGCTCGGCTCGCAGCTGCTCTCTCGCCTCTCAACGGCGCCGAGCGACCGGCCCGGCTTGCGCTCGTTGCTTCGAGGCGCCGCTCTGGCTCCCACGCTCTGAGCACGGTACTGAGCTAGCGACGGCGTGAGCAAGTCGGTCGAGCTGGCTGTCGGGCGTCCAGCAACGCTCGTGTGCGACGACGCACCATGCGCTGCGGCGAGCTCTGTCGCTGCCCGGCCATCCAGCGCGGAAACGCTCGAGCCGTTCCCATCCTCCAGCTTGACGAGCTCGTGCGCCCGGCGGGTCGTGCTCGCACGTCGGTGCGCGGCCTGCGCACGACGCTCCAAGCGAGCCTTTCCGCTCCTTCTCGCCTGCCTCTACGGATCTGGCTTTCCTATTCGCTCCAGCAGCGCGATACGTTCACGACGCTTGAGAGCATGTAGCCTTCGCCCGCATGAAAGCTTCTCTCGCCGCCGCCGAGAGCGAACAAGCTGAGAGATCTGTCGCGAAGAGCAGGCGCGCGCTCGCATTGCTGCACGTGCACCGGTTCACTGCGATCACGGTGTCGACGACTGCGCCGTGAGTATGCTGCGGTCGTCGATGCTGTTCAAGACGAGCGAGCCGGGGTCTGAGCGTAGACGGCTCTTGTCGAGTTCCCGCGGGAAGGTTGGACGCCGGGGCCGCTCGTCGTCTCCCCGCTCGCTCTCCTTGCACAGCTGCACAGCACTCGCCCCGCCATGCTCGCACGACAGAGCACCCGCACGGCCGCACGCTGCACCCGCAGCTTGGCGACCGCCTCATCTCCACGTCTGGCCTCGTCCTCCTCATCTTCGAGTCGCGGCACCGCGACCGCCATGCCCCCGCCGCTCAAGGGCGTGCGCGTGCTCGATCTCACTCGAGTCCTCGCAGGTCCCTATGCCACCGTGAGCTTGCCCCTCTCCCTCTTCGGCTCGCCCTCCTTCCCCCACCCCACACCTCGAGGTTGCCCAGCAGCTCCCTCGACCGACCGACCACAAGCTGACACCGCAATCTCCCGCACCGCAGATGATGCTCGCCGACTTGGGCGCCGAGGTCATCAAGGTCGAGCACCCAGAAAAGGGAGACGACACTCGCTCGTGTGCGTCCTCGCCTCGCCCTCTCTCCTTCTCTCGTCCCTCGCCCTCATGCTCACCTTCTCCCTTGACCTACAGGGATCCCGCCAAGCGCACCGCTCATCGAGATGCCGCCGACACCGCCTCCGTCACCCTCGCTCGACGGCGAGCCTGCTCTGCGCGTCGACGACTGGAACTCGCTTCCGCCCGAGTCGGCCTACTTCCTCCAGGTGCGTCCTCGCTCTCTTCTCCGCCTGTCTGGACCTGAGCTGACAACGAGGCGCAACAGGTGAACCGCGGAAAGAGGAGTGTCGGGCTTGACTTCAAGAAGGAGGAGGGCAAGGAGATCCTGCGAGAGCTCGTCAAGCGCGCCGACGTCCTGGTGCGTCCTGTCTCCCTCCCTTTTCGCTCAAGGGCACGTGACCCTGACGTCAATCGAGTGTGTGCAGGTCGAGAACTATGTCCCAGGTGCGCCGCGACGAGCCTTCTTCGCGGCGAACGCGCGCACTGACCCCCCCCCCCCCTCCCACGCGCACAGGCAAACTCGCCGAGATGGGCTTTGGGTACGAAGCGTGTCGCGAGCTCAACTCGAAGCTCGTCTACGCGTCCGTGTCGGGTGCGTCCTGCGCTCTCTCGATCTCGCTCCTTCGAAACCGCGCACTGACCTGCCTCGTCGTCCAGGTTACGGCCAGTCGGGCCCCTACTCGCGCAACCCGGGCTACGACGTCAACATGTGCGTCGTCACCACCTCTTCCTCTCTGTGACCTCGAAACTGACGCCCTGTCGCGTCCCTGCAGCGAGGCCGAGGCGGGCCTGATGCACATCACGGGCGAGGCGAACGGGCCGCCGGTCAAGGTCGGCGTCGCCATCACGGGTGCGCCCCCTCTCTCCCTGCCCCGCACCTGCTCCACGACGAAACCTGAACCTCGCTTGCCGCGCCCGCAGACCTGACGACGGGCCTGTACGCCAAGTCGGCCATCCTCGCCGGCCTGCTGTCGCGCGCCCAGACGGGCGAAGGCATGCACATCGACGTCAACCTGTTCGAGTCGCAGATCGCGTCGCTCGCCAACATTGCGAGCAACTACCTGATTGCTGGGCAGGAGGCGACTCGGCAAGGGACGGCGCACCCGAGGTCCGTCCGCTCGTTCGCTCGTTCTCTCTCGTTGTTGCACGACCTGACTCTCGCGCCGCAGCATCGTACCCTACCAGGTCTTCCCGACCCAGGACGGCTTTGTCATGATCGGCGCTGGCAACGGTGCGTCCACGTGTCGCCCTCTCTCTCCCTCTCTCGAACCTCGAACCTGACCAAGCCGCTTCCCTCTCTCTCTCGCAGACGGCCAGTTCAAGAAGCTGTCGACGCTCCTCGCGCGCGACGAGTGGGCGACGTCGCCCTCGTTCAGCACCAACAGCCAACGGGTCGCGAACCGGTCGACGCTCGTGCCCCTGATCGAGGACGCGCTCGGCGCGCACCCGACGGCGCACTGGCTCGAGCGGTTCAAGGGCGGCGGGTTCCCGTTCGCGCCCGTCAACGACATCAAGGGCACGTTTGAGCACCCGCAGACGGTCGCGAGGGACATGGTGCGCGAGGTGGACCACCCGAGGGCGGGCAAGATCAAGCTCGTCGCGCCCGCCGTCCAGTACAACGGCCACCGCATGGAGGTGCGTCCCCTCTCTTTCTCTCTCTGTGCCTGTCTCTCCGTCGACTGACGAGCGCGCCCCTCGTCGCAGTTCACGCGCCCGCCGCCGGTCCTCAAGCAGCACTCGGTCGAGGTCCTGCGCGAGCTTGGCTACTCGGACCGCCGCATCGCCGAGCTGCAGCACAAGCGCGTCATCTAGACACTCGAGTAGCTGAAACGAGCAACGACAGCATCTGTCGAGCTGGTCGTCGGCGCCGAGAGAAAGAGAGAGAGAGACACGGCCAAGTTGCTCAAGGAGAGGCGAGGACTGCGCTACGACCGCCACCTCCTCAGGACCTCCTCGCCGACGTCCGACCCGATCTGGCCAAGCCCGTTCCCAATCTCGCCCGCCACGTCCTTGAGGTCGCGGTCGACGAGGGCGCCCCTGCCGCCGCGCACGAACCCCCACCAGACGGCGACGGCGTACACGAGGTGGAGGACGGCGACGACGACGATGAGGATGCGCGCCGAGACGTTGGGGGCCGTCGCGAGGATCGGGTACAGGTTGCGCACGAGGAAGAAGAGCGACAGGAGGGTGCCGACGAGGGCGAACGCGCCCGAGACAAAGCTGACCGGGATGAGCGAGAGCCACTGCGCCCGCGCAATCGAGAGTCAGTCGCTCGTTCTGGCGTGTGTGGGAGAGAGAGAGAGTGGACGCACTGCGACGAGTATCCAGACGGTCGACGAGTAGCCGTACAAGCTGACGATCTCGACGGGAGAGCGGTCCGACGCGCCGGCCCAGTACTTGATGGCGGCCCACACGAGCAGGGGCACGCCGAGGTAGTACGTGTAGCTGCGGGTGCGCGCGAGGGGGTTTGAGTGCCTGCGACTTTGCGAGAGAGAGGGAGGGACGCACACGACCGAGGTGGCTGCTCCCAAGCGGGTAAAGTCGTACGTGTACTCGGCGTCGTCGAGGTAGGCCGCGATCGACGTGTACAGCGACGAGGTGAGGAACAGCGAAAACACGAGCGTCGTCGGGACCCAGAACGGCCCTGTTCCGCGCGCGCAAGAGAGAGAGAGGGAGTCAGGGATGGCGCCCACGACGAGGAGGAGGAGGAGAGGAGAGGGCTCACCGTAGAGGTCCGGCGCGCCCTCGAGCACCTCGCCGACATAGTCCTCCTTGGGCAACAGCGTCTTGTAGCACCGCTCGAGGACCTTGGCCGTGTTGACGTCGAACCAGCTCGAGTCTGCGGCGGGCGGGTCCGAGGGTCAGTGACAGGCCCAAGTTGCAGAGAACGACGACGCACAAAAGTCGAGGTTGAGGACGCCGCCGCTCTTTGTGGCGCCGTCGATCGAGCTGCCGAGGCGCTGCTCTGCGCTGTACAAGTCCTGGCCTGCGCGCACATGTAGGGAGGGCGACGACGACGACGAGGCGCCGTTGGGCGAGATGCGGCCGAGCGGGACGTCGGGCTGGATGGACCCGGTGCTGAAGTCTGTGTGCGCGAGGTCAGCCCTCCTAGCTCGTCCACCGAACGCGTGGTGACCGAGAGGGGGGCGCACCTTGGAAGGCGAGGTTGCCCGCGCCCGTCTCGTCCACATCGAAGATCGTGTCCTGCCGCGGCATGCTGGCGAGTGCTGTGCTTTGTGCGGTCGAGTCGGGCTAGTCGCAGCTCGTGCGAGGGGCGAGGGCGAGGTGGTTGACGAACGGTTCGCCGCGCGTTGTCGCGCTGGCGGAGTTCCCAGGGTCTCGCTGTTTCGCATAGCATGCCGCACCTCTCGCAGGAGCCAGGGAGGACGCAACGATGCTAATAATGACAACAGACAGGTACACAAATATGCGCAGAAAGCACTCAGCCGAGGAGGAAGCCTCGGACCGTCACGAGCGGCGTGAGCTCCTTGACCGGGATGGCCGCGTCCACCTCTGCCCCGCTCGACTCGTCGTCGTCGTCGTCGTCATCATCATCGTCATCCGACTCGTCGTCCCCTCCGCCGCGACCGCCGCCGCCAACGAGGCTGCCGAGGAGGCTGCCTGGCACGTCGCCCGCCGCCGACGCCGCCCACTGCCCGGCCCCGTCCAGGCCCGCCACCCGTTGCAGCCCAGACGAGAGCTGCGAGACGCGCATCGCCTCGTCCGGGTCCATGTCCCATCGGCGCCGCTGCCTGAGCGCCTCGGCCGCGTCGGCGACTCGAGCCGCCATCGCCGGGTCGAGCTCGACGTCGAACAGCTCCATGACGTACTTGCGCACGGCGAACCGGTAGTGGTGGCTCGCGAGCATCTCGCCGGCGCGAGCGTACAGGGCGGGAGAGGCAAAGAGGGAGCGGTGGCGGGCCTTGAGGCGCGTGAGGGTGCGCGACGCTTTGGTCGCGAGGATGTGGTTCGACAGGTTGGCGAGGGCGGACAGGGCCTCGCGCTCGAGAGACGAGGTCGACGGCGCGAGCTCGAACGTGCCCGGGAGGTCGAGGAGCGGCGGGTCCCACATCGGGGTCTGTGCGCGACGAGGGGAACGACGAGTCAGAACGAGCTCGCCGATGAGAGGCGAAAGAGGGAGGGGAGGCACGAGGACGCACAAAGATGTAGTCGTTGAGGTACATCGGGACGCAGATGCCCGTCGGACCGCGCAACGGAGTAAAGACGCTCTCCCACCCGAGCTCGTCGAGCATCTCGGCGCCTTCCTCGGTCGACGAGATGAACGCGAGGGCGTACGTGGCCGTTCTGCGGGAGCACGTACGAGTCAGGTCTTGGTGCGACACTCTTCGAGAGCAAGAGAAAGGCAGGACGGACCCTCGAAGCGAGTAGACGGGCGAGAAGGCGGCGATCTGGACGAGGTCGGTCAGGACGTCGTACTCGTCGAGGACGGCAAGCCCGGTCGAGCTCGCGCCGATGTGACCCTGTCGAGCGAGCGGAGGGTGTCAGGAGAGGGATCGACGATGAGGGGAGGAGGACGAGGAGGGAGAGGGCACGCACGATGGCCCACAGCACGCTCTTGAGCTCGACGACGTACGTGCGCTCGAGCGCCGACTCCTCGTGCATGTGCACGACGTCGACGAGGTCGTCCATGCGCTCGCTGTCGCGAAGTATGTCGCAGCCCTCGGCCGTCCGAGCGAGCTCGCCGTAGAGGTGCGCCGGCGGGGTGCCGTCAAAGCGCGACCTGCGACGTCGTCAAAGGGTGAGCCCTGCTCGGCAATGATGAGGCGAGAGAGTTGAGGACGCACGAGGAGCCCTGCACGCCGCCGTCGGCCTTGAGCGCCGCACCGAGCGCGAGTTCGAGCTCGACCATGTAGACGAGGTTGCGCTCCTGCGAGGCGAGCGAGAAAGGTCAGGTCGCGTCCGCGCAGGGAGAGAGTCCTCGAGCGAGGTGACGCACCTGGTACCACGTCTCGAGCTCGCGCTCGACCCAGCCAATCTCTTGAAGGTACCCGACGCCGGCCGAGTCGGCCAAGAAGAGCATGAGGAGCGGCTCGCCCTCGTCGACGGGCAGGACCTCGAGCGCCGGGCGGAGACCGACGACGGCGCGCAGGACGTCTTGGGACGCACAGGCGTCGGCGAGGGCCCGGATGGCGAGCGTGACGACCTCGGGCGCCGGATCGTACAGCTGCTGGACGAGGAGCTCGATCTGCCACGGTGTCGGGCCTGCCGGGGCGGCGAGGATCTTGGCAAGGCGCTGCGTGGCGTAGTGGCGGACGTGCTGCATGAGGGAGGGAGGGTCAGTGACGGTCTGCCGGGCGGACGACTCGTGCAGGGCTCGCCTTGTAGCTCGACGTGAGGGCCTTGGACAGGAAAACACGCGCATGACCGTCTCTGCAGGGGACGCTCGACGTCAGTCAGGCTCTGCAAGACAGAGGCGAGGACCGAGAGACGCACGTCGAGTAGTCGATGTTGTCGATGATGAGGCGGACGAGGTCCTCGCGGTTGCGCATCTCGGCGATGCGGTAGAAGGCGGTCCACAGCTTGAGCTCGTCGAGCAGGCTGTTGCGGGGCGCCAAGGTCAGTCTCACGACGTTGCGAGAGACGAAGGAAGAGTAGGACGCACCTCCTGCCAGCCTCGGACCGCGACAGCACGCCGAGCATCGAGAAGTACCCGCTCGAGATCGTGCCCTCGACCCGGTCCTTGGTCAGAAGAATTGGTGCGCCGCTCGCCTGTGTGCGCTAGTCATCAGGCGTCGGTCGCGACAGGATGAAGGGAGAAGGAGGACGCACCGTGTCGAGCTGGAAGAGCGCCTCGGCGAGTTGCGGCAAGAGCTTGTCCTCGACCAGGAACTGGACGCCGACCGGGCTCGCGACGAGCATCGACACGATCTCGCACCCGAGGTCGACCCACTTGTCGGTAAGCTGTGTCGGGCAGGAAGGCGAGGCGAGGGAGGAAGAGGGGGAGGGACGGCGGCACGAGGAACATGAGCTCGTGTCTCGAAGGGAGAAAGAGGGAGAGGAGGGCGCACCGGGTCCTTGGGCAAGTCGCTGAACCGCAGCGCGAACGGGTGGTAGAACGCGAGCACGCGCCGCATGAACTTGGTCGCCCTCGTCGCCTCCTCGAGCCGGCGCGCGTTGCGGAGCGGGCCCTGCACGAGCGTATAGAGGGCGTCGGGGACCCAGCGCGTCTCCTCCTTGGCCGACAGGACACCGCTCTCGAGGAGGAGGTTGCGGAACGCGAGGTCGTCCATCGACAGGGCGGCGGCAAGGCGGACGCTCGAGATGGAGGCCGAGGCGCGCTGTTGCGGGTCCTCGAGCGAGTTGGCCCTGCAGGATCTCGGCTTCGTCAGGGCCGGTCGGCGAGAGAGTGTGAGAGAGAGGGCGAAAGGCGAGCGCACCGAGCTCTGCGGCTCTCGAGGGCGCCGGCACCTGCGACGCGTTGCTCCCTCTCGCGCTCGAACCGCCCGACCTTGAGCAGCGCGTCGCTCGCCGCGAGGCGCTCCCGACTCGGGTCAAAGCCCGCCGTGAGGGCAAAGAGCGACGGCAACGACTGGACCCGGACGGCGTGCGACGCCGGGAGGACGCGGTTGGCGAGCGAGAGGATCTCGCCGATGAGGAGCGAGACCTTGGTCGCCGTGGACGGGTCCTTCGGGTCGGCAGCGAGCGACGCGAGGGCCTGCAAGTGACGACAGAGCATGAGTGTCTCGCCTATGGAGTCGGACTGAGCAGGGGCAGGAGGCGAGGGCGCACCTCGATGAGGCCGGCCTCGACAAAGATGAGGAGCAGGACGGCCATGAACTGGTCGATCAGGTTGGTGCGACGCTGCGGCGCGTTGGCGCCAGGAGCTGATGCAGATGAAGGCGCCGACAGGGTCGAGAACGACGGGCGCCCTTGCTCTGCGCGCGTCGGGAAAGTCAGCGACGTGCGGCTCGCCGCCGGTCGAGCGAGAGCGAGACGGACCGTGAGGCGCTGGCGACTTGACGTTGAAGACGCCGAAGAGCATGTCGAGGAGCGTGTCCTGCATGGGGAAGTAGGTCAGCCGACGGCCGTCGAGTCGGGAAGGGAGAGACGAGTCGGCGACGCACCCGAATGACCTGCGAAGGGTTGGTGAGCGAGTCGACAAGCGACGTGAGCGCTTGACGGCCATGAATGTTGAGGTAGAAGAGGCCTGTGTGGCTCGGCGTGAGCTCGGGTGCGCGAGGAGTGACCGAGGGAGGGAGGTGGTGGACGCACCGCTCCAGCTCTGCAGAAAGGTGGCGACCAAGCCCGCGCTCGCCTTGACGCGCTCCTCGACAGTCGAGCCCTTGCCGTGCACCTCGGTGAAGCCTGCGAGAATGACCTGGACAACGAAAGAGGGTCAGGGACGGTCCTTCAAGAAAGAAAGCGAGCGAGCCGGACGCACCTCGACGTCGACGCCCGGGCGCAGCCATTGTCGGGTGTCGGGATGGTCGACAGCGGCGAGGAACGCGAGCGCAAGGTACGGCGCAAAGTCGAACGGCCCATCGGCGAGGGCCTGCAGGACGACTCGAAGGCCCTCGCTCGCGACGAGGAGCGGCAGGTTGCGGATCACTGCGGGCGGTCGCGGGCGAGCTGCGTCAGGCCGTGTACGCCGCAGAGAGCGACAAGACGAGGGAGAGATGCTGCTCACCGAGCTCGCCGAGCGTCTCGAGCGCAGCGACGCGCAGTCGTTCCTCGGGCGTTTCTGCGAGCGCGACGACGCCGCGCAGGACCGAGACGGGGACGACCGCGCGGCCGTGACCGAGCGACGGGCCAGCAAGCACGATGAGGGCCCGGACGAGCCGCAGCGCCTGCGTCTTCTCGTGGTCGTGCTTGGCGTCGCGAGAGAGAGACCTGCGAGGGCAGAAGGTCAGGGCGTGCGACCTCTAGAGGGACGAGCGGCGATGGCGGGACGCACCGGACGAGAAAGAGCGGGAGGTGGTGCTCGTTGAGGCGGATGGCATCGGACGCGTCGACCATGAGGTGGCGCACGAGGCGGTATGTCGCAGCACGGACGTCTTTCCCGGCAGAATCTGCGAGGCATGCCATGATCCTGCAGGCAAGAGCTTCAGTGTCGGTCACCCACAGGAGACGACTGGCGCGAGAGATGTACGAAGGAAGGTGCTCCTCGAGCGAGATCTCGAGCTTGAGGAACGGGAACTGGTCGACGACGTCGACGACCTCGTCCATGACCTGCACGCGCTCGTACGGGTCGCCGCGATCACCGAGTCGCCTCAGGGCGGCGAGAAGGCGCTCGAGGGCGACCTGGGCTTGCGACGGCGGTTCAGGAGCTGCAGAGGAGGGCGAATGGTCAATGCGATTCGTGCTCGGAGGACCGGCGAGGGGACGTACCAGGTGGAGGAAACCCGGGCGAAGGTCGCTCGAAGATGCTGCTGCCGTAGCTGCTCGAGACCTGCGGGCGATGGAAGCCATTGGCGACGGCCGACAGCGGTGGTTGAGCTGGCGAGAACGGGGTCGGAATCCCGGCAGCTGCGAGGGCGAGAGCGAGTCAGTCGAGGTCGCGAGCGTGCTCAAAGGGGGCGAGGGACGCACCAAGCTGCACCTCGAGAGCGCTGATGCGGCGTTCAAGTCGCGGGATGCGGTCCTGGGCGCGGCTGAGCTCCTCGAGGAGGGCGTCGGGGAGCGAGCTGACAAAGTCGGCCTCGTCGTCTGGCTGCTGGCTGAGGACGCGAGCGAGTGCTTGTGCGCCGTTGACGATGTTGCGGGCCTCGTCGAGCTCGAGGCGGAGCGTGTCGAGCTGTTACGGAGCGGGTGAGCGGAGGTGGGGAGGAGGAGGGGGGCAGAAGAGAGGAGGACGCACCTCGTCTTGCGGGTTTGGACGCGCCCTGCCGAGCTCGAGGCTCGAAGGTCGGCTCATGCGCTGCGGCGCAGGTCTTTGTGCTTGTGCGGGTCGAGAAGCGGGCGAGCGACGAGCGAACGAGGGGCGACGCAGCTGTTTGTCTCCTCGCCCACCACTCACGCTGCAGCACTAGCGCCCTAGTGCACCCAGTCAGCCAGACGTTCTCACCAGCAGCGCACCGCCCAGCTTGTCGGTCCTCGCCCTGCCCTCCTCGGTCCTCGTCGCCCTCATCACCCGCGCCAGCTTCTCCTCGACCCTCTGCCGTCACCACAGCCTCGAGCACCGCCGCTAAGCCGCCCAGCATGGCCGTCACCGCCCACGCCACCGACCTGCCCGTCCAGCAGCCTCTCACCCAGCACCCGGTCGTCTCGGAACCGCCCCTCGAGGTCGCCCTCCTCCTCGCGCAAGCCGTCGCCCAACTCGGCACCGACAGCTGGGACGCCGTCACCGACCTGCTCGAGCACAGCAAAGAGTGGCCAGAGTCGGCCGGCAAGATGACGAGCCAGGTACGCCTTTGCCCTCCCGTTCCTCCCCCGCTCTCGTCCAGCAGCGACCACCCGTGACCTGACCCCTCTCTGCGCATGCAGGGCTACGCGACGACCTTCGAGACGATGATGCGGCAACGAGGCCTCGACGCGTGCGTCTCTCGTCCTCTCTCTCGAGCGCTTCCTGCGCCCTGTCCCGCCATCCGCTCACCTCGTTCTCGTCTCTGCAGGTCCACGTGCTCTCGACCTCTCGGTGCGCCCGCCCGTCCTCGCCTAGTCCGAATCTGTTCCTGACGCTCGACTCTGCCTGCAGCACGACCTGCCCGCAAGCTCGTCCACGCGCTGTACGCGTCCCTCCTCAACAACCTGCGCTCGTCCATCCTCAAAACGTTCGACGAGGAGGCGTGCGTTTCGTCTTCCCTGCACGTCCTCCCCGCAACTCGGCGACTGACCTTCAGAGCGGCGCGCAACAGCGAGAACAAGCAGCAGATCGCGGCCCTGTGCGCCGCGCACCTTTCCCCGTCCCCGCCGCCGTCCCTCGCGCCCAAGGACGACAAGCGCCCGCAGACGCCCTCGACGCGCAAGAGCGCGCGCAAGACGGCCCTGCCGGACGTCGAGGAGGACGCCGACGCCGAGCAGCAAACCGCCGTACAAGCCGGCTCGGCCGGCCCTGACGTCGACATGGCCGTCGCGGCGCCGCTCGACGACGGGCCCGCCGACCCGACCGCCGAGTCGTCGGGCACCGCCGTCGGGGCCGACGAGGCGAACGAGCCGGACGAGGACGGCCAGTCGTCAACGCCGTCGCGGCGCGGCGGCGGGCGGCGCAAGGCGGGCGGGCGCGGGACCGGGCGGCGCAAAGGGCGTGGCGGGCGCGCCGCGACGGTCGAGGGGACCGAGACGCCGGCGTCGGAGCAGGACGGCGGGGAGGACACGGACGCTGGGGCGGTCAAGGAGGAGGAGGACGAGGACGAGGCGGCGCCGGGTGCTACCGACGAGGGCGAGGAGGGTGCGGCGGGTGAGGCGGGAGACGGCGATGAGGAGGAGGCAGAAGACGCGTCGAGGCCGAGGCGCGGGGGCAGAAAGGCGAGGGCGCCGGCACCGGCCGCGAAGAAGGGTGCGTTGCCCACCTGCTCTCTCTCGAGATCCTGCACAGTCCCCCGAGCTGAACTCGTTCACTGACCCTGTCTCTCCTTTCGCCTCGCAGGTGGACGCAAGCGCAAGCCGAGCGAGGCGCCTGGCACGTCGCCTGCGCCGAGCGAGACGGCCGAGGGCGGGCGCAAGCGCAAGCGGGTCAAAACGACCGAGGAGCCGTTCGAAGAGAGCGGTGCGCCCCACTTTCTCTCAGTCTCTGTGTGCGCCAACGTCTACCGAGCCCCTCCTGACCCACTCTCGTCGACCCGTGCGCAGAGAAGGACTCGAAGCTCGCGATCCAGCGCCGCAAGGCCGGCTTCAACCGCATCATCGAGCAGCTCCAGGCCGAAAAGTACTCGCACTACTTCGAGTCGCGCGTCACGCGGTCGATCGCGCCGCTGTACAACGTGGCCGTGCGCCGCCCGACGTGCCTGCGCGATGTGACCAAGGCCATCAAGAGCGGCGCCATCAGCACGAGCACCGAGCTCATGCGCGACGTGGCCCTCTTGTGCGCCAACGCGACCCAGTTCAACGGCGACGAGGGCGAGGACAGCGTCGGGCACTGCGCAAAGCTCATGTGGGACCGCTTCGAGCGGTGCGTCCGCTGTTCCCCTTTTCCTCGTTCGCCTTCTCCCTCGGCCCGATCCTGACCTTTGTTCTCTTCCGCAGGCTCATGGACGAATCGCTGAGCGCCGAGATGTCGATGGAGTAGAGGATCTTGCAACGTCGGTCACACTCTTGCGCCCGCGAGAGGACTTGGAGGAGGACGAGGAAAGCGAGAGCGGTCCGTGCCTCGGCTCTGCTGTCCGGCGCGCCTCGTGGGAGCATTCCTCGCACCTCGCGAGAGCGGAAACGATCGCTAGCTGGCCGCAAGAGCTCAGACTGCGAGGCAGCCGAGCCGTCCGCTGTCGCCCGTCGTCCGCTCGCCTCGCCGTCCACGTCCTCTCTCCCACACCTCGGCGGGCGCGAGCTGCCATGTCTATCTCGTCGCCGCTACCATCTGCAGCGCTCTCGGCCCACCCTCTGGCCGTCGTGCTCTCTCTCGACGAGCTGAGCGGTCCTGCCCCACCCTCGTCCTCATCGGCCGCGTCCACCTCGTCCTCGGCACCGCACGACATCTTTGACGAGCTCGACCTCGCCGTCGGGACATGGGCTCTCGACAACGACGACGACGATCGCGCACCACCGGCCGCCAAGCCGGTTGTCGACCGCCTTTCCCCCGATGAGCCGTCCTCCTCGTCCCTCAACAACGCCTCCGCCGACGCCCAGCCTTCTTTCCGCACGGCGCTCTCGGACTCGCACGCCGTCGTCGACCCGCAGGGGCTGTCGCAGCGGCCAGGGCGAGGCGACGAGCGGGACCTCCCCGGGTGGATGCGCGAGACGAGCGGCCGCGTCACGGCCATGGCGGTCGGCCGCGTCGGGCGTGCGGCAGCGACGAGCGCGAGAGCTGGAGCGGGCGGCGGCACAGCAGGCGGCAAGGGCGGGGAGGGCGACGACCGAGGCGAGCGCAGGGTCGTCGCGGGCTGCGAGGACGGCACGGTGTGGGTCTTTGCGCCGCCGCCTGTGAGGGCGAGGCGCACCTCGGCGAGCGCCATCATGGCTGCTGCAGCGTCGAGTGCGGCCGGCGAGAACGACGCCGCCGCCCGCCGCGCGTCGGTCGACTCGTCCGTCGGGACCTCCCCGTCCTCTCCTCCACCTCGTTCGCCCCTGCACTCGCCGCCACTCTCGCCGCCATCTCGACCATGGACGCCGGCGCACGGCATCGGCTCGTCACGGCTCGAGTCGCGGCGCTCGTCCAGCTCGGCCTCGCTCGCCTCGCTCGCGACGACGGCGACGGCGAGGAGCAAGCGCGTCGGCTCGGCGGCGTCGGCCAGCGTGCTGTCCGCCTCGAGTGGAGCGACGACCGCGCTCACGAGCTACGAGCTCGTGCGGTCGCACTCGCGGCCTCGCAAAGCGAGCGCGACCGTCTCGGTCTCGACCTCGTCCGCCGCACCCTCCTCGCACTCGAACCCGCACGCCCCCTCGCCAGACGGCACCCTCGCCTCCCAACCTCCCACTCTTCATCCTCCCCGCCGACCCCGACCTTTGCCGCCCCGTCCTCCCTGCCCCACCTCGTCATCTCGTCGCCTTCCCGCCCACCCTCGACCGCCTCGGGTTCCCTCCAGAGCCGCAAGGAGGCCCTCGCCGGCGGGCCCGCCCCTCCTGCCTCCCCGACGCCGAGTCGGCGAGGGCACTCGCGCGCCAAAGGGTCGATCGCGACCGGCATCGGCCTGTGGGAGGAGGGCACGAGCGCTGCGCCGAGCCCGCGCGAGGAGCGCGCAGACCCGCTCGCGGCGTCGACTGCGACGGCGGGTGGCACCGAGGTGGTCGATGCGGCGGGCGAGAGCGCAGAGGAGAAGGACCTGTGCGAGCTGCGGCCGGTCTTGCGCGTCACGACGCCGGGTCGAGGAGCCGTCGTCGCGCTCGAGGCGGTCGACGGACTGCCTTTCGGCGCCGAGCGTGCCCAGGGCTCAATCGGCGGCACGGTTGTCCTTGTTCTGCGGCAGAGCGGGTGCGTCCTCGTCCTCGCCTGCCCCCTTTTCCTCCTCGCCCGCCCGGCCCTGACCTGATCTTGCTCCACAGGCACCTCTCGGTCATCTCGCTCGTCGACGGCAGCATCTTTGGCTCGTGCGACGCCGGCGTCAAGGTCGCCTCCACGTCGCGCACCGGGAGCGCGCAGTTCAGCCGGCTGCAGGTCACCAAGGTCGGCGAGGTCCGTCGCCCGCACCGACCTCTTCCTCCGTCTCGTCAGCCCTCGTCACTCACTCCTTTTCCCTCGTCGCGACAGTCGAGCATCGCCATCTGCGTCGGGGCTTCGAGCACAAAGGCGCTCGTCGCAGTCGACCTCGACTCGCTCATCGCCCACGACGCCATCGCCTTTGACGGCTCGCCCGACTGTATCGTCGTCTTCGAGCGTCCTGGTGCGTCGAGCGCTCACACACCTCCCGACTCGTGCCTGACAAGCCTTTCACTCGGTCGCAGGAGAAGCGCCCGTCCTCGTCTACCCGTCCTCGCCTGTCGCCGACGAGCCCGTCCACCTCCTCGCCCGCTCGATTGCCGACGATGCCGCCGCTAGCGACTCTTCTGCTTCTCTCGGCCTCCTGTCCGACTCGACCGCCGACCTCGAGGGTCTGTGCGCCGTCAAGAACGGGCTCGTCAGCTGGGACCGCGAGGGCTTGACGGTCCGTCCTCGTGCTCTGCCCCTCTTCCAGTCCGCCCGGACTGACTCGAGTCGTACGCGCAGATTCACGGCGTCGAGGCGGGACAGCTCAAGCGGCGAGAGCAGGTCGACGTCCGCGGTATCGTGTCGGTGCGGGCGAGGGACGACGGGCAGAGTCTTGCGGTCGCGACGGCGCGCGACGTCTACTGCGTGCGTCTTGGCGATACCGACGGCGACCAGTACGTCCCACTTGCCTTGCCTTCACATGAGGCGCGCACCTGACAGCGTTCCCGTCTTGCAGCTGCGCTACCCTTTTCGCTCGACACGTCGCCTCGTACGGCGAGGCCATGGCCTTCTGCGACAGCCCGGCCGGCAGCGCCATCATCATCACGAGCGTTCACGAACATGGTACACGCTCGCTAGATCTGCTGCCGTTCGGCCAAGCCGACTCGGCACCCGCCTCGTCGTCAGCGAGACCTCGCGCCGACACGCCCGTCCAGCTCTACCTGTCCTCGGCGCATCTTCCGCTCGTCCGCATCACGGCGATTCAGACCCTGTCGTCCGGTCAGGTCCTCCTCGGCTACAGTGCGTCGTCGCGTCCTCCTCGTCCTCTCTCGCTCCCGGACCAGACCCTGACGACCTCGCGCCGAGCAGACACGGGCGGCATCGTCTCGCTCGACCTCGGGGACCTCGCGCACATGTCGTCCCTACCGGCCGCCAGGGTGACGCTCACGGGCGCCATCAGCCTGCTCGAGACGGTCGAGTTTGCCGGCCGGCAGGTCGTCGTCGCCGGCTCGTCAAGTGGCGCCGCCGGCGTCTGGAACCTCTCGTGCGCCCCAATTTCTCTCCCGCTTGAGAGCAAGGTCGGATCGCTGACCTCGAGTGCGACCCACAGGGACTGGGACGTCGTTGGCCAGTGGCAGCTCTTCGCGTCGCCTGTGCGGCACTTTGCCTACCTCGACCCGTCCTCGCCTTCCTCTTCCTCTTCTTCTTCTTCTTCTTCCCCTCCTCCTTCATCCACCTCCTTTCGCCTCAAGAACACGGTCGCCTTCATCTCGGCCAACTCGCCCGTCGCGCTCGTGTCGCTCTTCCCGCCCGCCGTCGTCTTCACCCTGCCCGGCACCAAGTCGGCCGTCGAGGTGCTCGCGACGACCAAGGACGAAATCCTCGTCATCTACGAGCAGGGCCTCGCGAGGACGTGCGACATCAAGTCGCGAGAGCTGCGGCGCAGCATGGACCGCAAGACGGCCGAGGGCGTCCTGCAGGACGCGGCGTGGACGACCTGGTGCGCTCGGCCCGCTCCTTTCGCTCCTTCCTCTTTCAGTTCCGGACGTACTAACGTGCCTCTGCGCTGCAGGTTCCGACTCGACGACGCCAAGACGTCGCCCTCGTCTACCTGTGCGTGGCCTTTCTCTCCTCGGGCAGAACCGCTCGACGCCGTCGCTCACCCACCCTCTCTGCAGCTTGCGCCCTCTCTCTTCAAGTCCGCGCCTTTCTCGACGACACGGCGCGCAACCTGCCGTGGTCGATCTCGCGTCTCGATCGGCCCGAGCAGGAGGACACGCCGCGAGGGTCGCCAGACGCCGTCTCGAAGAGCGGGCCCGACGAGCCCGGCTCGCTCGGTGCAGCTCGGAGCCTCGTCGCCTGTCTCGCGACCTTTGGCCTCGACTCCGGCGCCGACGAGCTCCTCGCTCAACTCGGCGTCGTGCCGCCGGCGGCGTCCATCTCGGTCGGGCTCGACAGGTGCGCTCGCGCCTCTTCGTCCTTCCTTCTCTCTCTGTCGCCGACTGACCGAGCATGTCTCTTCCCCGTGTGTGCAGCGTCGGCGGCGTCGCGTTCTCGGCTCGAGGTTCGTCGAGCGCGCTGTGGTCGATCTCGCCGAGAGCGACGGCGCAGCGCCTGATGCAGCTCATCTGCGTCCTGCGCGTCTTCCTCAACTTTCCTGGTGCGCCCCACTGTCCTCTCTCGCCTCGTCTTCGTGCTCGACGTACTGACGCACGGCGCGTGCCCCGCAGAAACCGAGCGCGTCGCCGGCGAGGCGGTCGTCTACTTTGCCTCGTGCCTCGCCGACACGGTCGGCTCGACGTTCTGCCCGCCCTCGTTGGACGTCCTCGCCCAGTTTTGGCTCGACAGAAACAGTGCGCCTGCCTCGTTCCCTCTCACCTCGTCGCCTGTTCGCGGTACTGACCCCTCGAGTCCACCACCCCCTCTCGCAGCCGAGGTCCAGCAGGCGGCCAAGTCGCTGTTCGGCACCTATCTCGCCGCCATGCCGGACGCAGACATCGTCGCGCTCGTGGAGGAATGGCAGGATCAGCGTGCGTCCCGCGTCCGCACCCCTTCCACCTCGGCCGCAGCCTCACTGACCTCGTCTCCCTCTCACAGTTCCCTCTCGGCAACACGGTGACGGCCTGCTGCACTCGCGAGCCGACCATGCTCTCCTCATCATCGGCCTCATCGCCGTCGAGCGCTTCAAGCTCCTGTCGTCAAGGTGCGTGTCCTCCTCCTCGCCTCGAGCGCACGGACCCAGCCCGGCCTGACCTTGCTCCAACCCGCAGCGTCCTCGTCGATGTCGCCACCTCGGTCGCCGCCTACCTCGACGACGACACGCGCCCGTACCACCAAGCCGTCGCCGCCGAGCTGTGCTCGCGCGGGTTCGCCATCTGGCAAAACTACGTCGACGCCATGGCGCTCGTGCGCGCCCTGTTCAGCCTCGCCATCGGCCGCAACCCGTCGACGCCCAACGACCTGCGCATCCTCGCACGCAACGCGACGCTGCACGTCGCCGGCATCAACACGCCCCTGTTCATGACGACGCTCCTGCACGACATTCTCAACGCGTCGACCGCGTCTGCGCGCAACGCGACGCTCAAGCTGTTGGGCTTCATGATCCGCAAGGTGCGTCGCCTCTCTTCCTCTGTGTCCTTCTGCGCGACCTGGGTGCGGGGCACTGACACCGGCTCCGGCGCGCGCGCAGAAACCGCTCGTCCTGTACACCAACCTGCCTCGAGTCGCCGAGGCCGTCGTCAAGTCGCTCGACCCGACCATCTCGGCCCTGCGAGAGACGGTGCAGCAGTCGGCGACGTTCATCCTCAACGAGCTCGTCCGCCGGTGCGTCCTCTCTCGCTCCTCGCCCGACCTACCCTTTCCTCGTCTCGCTCACGCTCTCTTCCCTGGGCCACAGGTTCCCGTCGATCGACTTTCACGGCAAGTCGCAGCGCCTCGCCGTCGGGACAGCGGAGGGCGCCGCCATCGTGTTCGACCTGCGCACGGCGACGCGCCTGTACGTCCTCGAGGGCCACAACCGGCCCGTAACGGCGCTGTCGTGGTCGCCCGACGGGCACCGCCTCGTCACCGTCTCGCTCGAGGAGAACCGCGTCGTCGTGTGGAGGGTCAGCGGCGGCATCCTGGGCATGTTCATGGCGGGCACGCCGGCGCGGCAGGGGAGCGGCGGGCAGGCGACGCCGTTCAAATCGTACGACTTCCACGTCGGCGACGAGGGTGCGTCCCTCTCTCCCTCTCTATCTCTCTCTCCTCGCCGTGTACATGACCTGACCCGCTCCCCTCCTCCCTGCAGCGCTCATGAGCACGGCGGCGACGCTGGAGTGGATCGTTATGGAGTGGCCGGCGGACCGCACCGTGCGGCTGCGGATCCGTGAGACGGCGCTCAACTTTGGCGTGTAAGGACCCGACGGGCAAGCCCCGTTGTTCTCATTCTGCGTCGAGCGAGAGAGCGTGAGCGCAGAGCGAGCGAGACGAGCCGGCTCTCGGACCCCGCGGCGTCGAGAGAGAGTGCGAGTCGCCGAGCGTGGCGATGTCGGCCGCTCTTCTTCGCTCTTGTGAGGGACTCGTGAGCGCAGTTACTGGCCCGTCGCAGCGCAGCGAGTGCACTCTTGCGTGCGAGACTCGGACGCCGGATTACGCGATAATCGCGCTCGCCGAGGCTGGTGCACGCTCTCGCTCAACCCGTCTTGCTCGCCCAGCTGGAACGATGAGCGCGCACGACTGGCCGCCGCAGCTCGACGCCGCACAAGAGCAGGCCCTGCTCGACCTCGCGTCCGACTACGCGCTCGCCCACGGCCTCGTCCTCCGCCCCGTCGCCTCATCTCCCTCGTCCCCACTGTCCCTCACGACCGGGATCCACGCGCCCTACTCGCTGTACCCGTCCCAGCTCCCCAGCCACCTGTTCGCACAAGCGCTCGCCCTCCAGCCCACGTACAACGAGCTGTACGCCCGAGTGACGGCCGACGACGCCTTCCTCGAGCGCGTCGTCGGCGGCGCCGTGAGCAAGGTCGACGAGTTCCAGGGACGCCTGTACGAGCTGTGGAAGACGGTCAAGGCAGAGGGCATCAAGCAGGTGCGCCTCTCGTTCCTCCTCCTCCTCCCTCCCTCCCCACTTGAGCGTTGGCTGACACAGCTTCGGTCACCCACAGCCGCTCGCTCTCGGCCTGTTCCGGTCCGACTACCTCGTCCATGCTCCTCAAGGGACCGCACCGAGCGAGCACACGATCAAGCAGGTCGAGTTCAACACCATCTCGAGCTCGTTCGGCGCCCTGTCGACTCGCGTCGGCGACTTGCACCGGTGCGCTCGCTCTCTCTAGCGCGCGCGCACGAAGCATTCTCAAGCGTCGACTGATATGTCACGTCTGGACGCAGCTACCTCCTCGCGAGCGGCGCCTACCCTCCTCATCCCTCCCTCACCACCTCGGCCCTCCCGACCAACAGCGCCCTCGCCGGCCTCGCAGGAGGCCTCGCCGCCGCGCACAAGGCGTACGGCGTCGACGACGCTGTCGTACTCATGGTCATCCAGGACAACGAGCGCAACGCGTTCGACCAGCGACCGCTCGAGTACGAGCTCGTCGAGAAGTGCGTCCCGCTTCCCCCTCTCTTTTGCCCAGGGCGCGGTAACTCACGCCCGATCCCCCTCGTTACAGGCACGGCATCCGACTGCTTCGCGTCCCGTTCTCGGAGCTGCGCACCACCCTGTCCCTGTCGTCGTCGTCGCACGCGCTCCTGTACCACGTCCCGCACGGCGCCTCGCCCCTCGAGGTCTCGCTCGTCTACTACCGCACGGCGTACGCCCCGACAGACTACTACACGGCCGCCGAGTGGGACACGCGACTCGTCATCGAGCGCTCGCGCGCCATCAAGTGCCCCTCGGTCGCCATGCAGCTCGCCGGCGCGAAAAAAGTCCAGCAGGTCCTCGCCTCCCCCGCCGAGCTCGCCCACTTTGTCCCTCGGGGGGACACGCGCGCGGCGCTCGCCGAGAGCTTCACGGGATTGTTCCCGCTCGACGACTCGCGCGAGGGCCTCGACGCGCTCGAGCGCGCACGGACCGACCCGAGCGGGTTCGTCCTCAAGCCGCAGCGCGAGGGCGGCGGCAACAACATTTACCGGGGCGACATTCCGCCGTTCTTGGCGCAGCTCGAGGACGAGGACGAGGAGCGGCAGCGGCGGCGAGCGGGCGAGGGCGAGGGCGAGGGAGCGAGGGAGCGGGCGCCAAAGGGCCGCGAGGGCTACATCCTCATGGACCTGATCGAGCCGCCGCGAGGGGTCGAGCAGGTGCTCGTCAAGGCGGGCGAGGCGCACGGCGCGCGCGCAGAGGTCGTCAGCGAGCTCGGCGTGTACGGCGTCGTGCTCGTGCGCGAGGACGTCGACGGGTCGCGAGGCGGCGAGGCCGACGTGCTCGTCAACGAGACGGTCGGGCACTTGTTGCGCACAAAGGCGAGCAGCTCGGACGAGGGAGGGGTCGCGGTCGGGTTCTCGGTCATCGACTCGCCGCTTCTCGTCTGAGGGCCCCTTTCTCTCTCTCTTTTAGACGAGCCGGAGCCGTGGACAATTGAGCTGTGTTGCGCGCAGTTTCTCTAGCAGCGAGACGGTATGTACATCGAGCGAGGAACGACGAGGGCGAGGAGAGAGAGAGAGAGAGAGAGGCTAAGGGAGGGGAGCGAAATCTCGAGAGGAGAGAGAAAAGGGGAGGGGCGGGGGAAGGCAGGGCCGCTCAGGCCGCGACCGGCTCGGGCGGGTCTTCCTTGGCGAGCTGCTCGGCCGCACCCTCGGCCGCCTCGACGACGGCGGCGGGCACGTCGACGACGGCCGTCTCGGTCGCCTGGGCCGCGACGTCGCCCTCAGGCGTGACGACCGTGTCGGTCTCGACGTGGACGAACGAGCCGCCGCTCGAGGGCGAGCTCTCGTCGCCGTTGTCGCTCGTCGTCGCCTGGCTCCTCGGTGCCGAGGCCGAGGCCGACGACGCGCCGCCACCGCCAACCTCGATCTCCTCCTCGTCCTCGTTCTGCTGCTGGACGTTCTTGTCCTCGTCGTCGCCCTCGTCGGCGAGGTCGAGGATGGGCGCCTCGGAGCGACGCGGGCCCGACGACTGCTGCGACGACGATGAGGCCGACGACTGGAGGTCGAGCGAGATGAGCTCCATGACGAGGTCGAACACGGCCGGCGGCTGCGTCTTCTGGTAGATCATGAGGAGCTCCTGCGGCGCCGGGTACACCTTGAGCGCCTTGTAGAACGAGATGGCCGACGCGACGTAGAACTCGGGGGCTATGTCGGCGTGGGTGGGGGCTGGGTTAGCGAGTTGCGCCGCGACGGAAAGAGAGAGAGGGAGAGGGAGACGGACAGCGGGCGGCGAGCTGCTCGCCAAGGGCGACCTGCTCCATGAAGAACTGCTCCTTGCCCTCGGGCGACTCGGGGACTGTACACGGGGAGAGGGGACGAGTCAGTTCAAGCTGTACATGCACCTGGAGCGAGGGACAGACGGACCCGGCTCGGCGTTGACGAGGGTGAGGGCGCGCCTGAGGGCCTGTTCGACCTGGGCCTTGCCCTGCTCCTGCTTGACCTCGGCGACCTTCTCGAGCTTCTTCTGCTGCTTGGCTGTGTGCGTTGCGACGAGGCGATCCAGGGTGTCATCGGCGGAGAGGGGGGGACAAAAGTGAGGCGGCTGTCAGCGCGGCGGACAAAGAGGACATGGCGCAGAAAGGGCAGCTCACCAAGCTTGCGACGGAAGGCCGGGTCGTGCCTGCGGCGGTGGTCCCACACGGCGGCGTAGACGACGGTGGCCGCCGAGAGGACGCCGACGACGGCGCCGGCAATCTTGAGGCCCGTCGCGAGCGACGAGGTGGACGTGGACGGGGCAGAGTTCATGGCTGGCTCGGTGGCTGCTGGCTAGACCGGGTCTGGCTGAGTTGCGGGCGTGAAGCGACGGTCGACACTCTCGAGGTCGATGGAGCTCGCGCTTGCTCTTCGACAAGAGCCCGCCACCGCTTCCCTCTCGCCGCTCTGGTGCTGGTCTTGGGCTGCGCTTCTCTCTCGGACAAGGACTGGCTCGCTCTCTGTCCAAGTCCCGCATCCCTGCGCCGCTTTCTCGCTCCCCCTCTCCTCGCTCTCCTCGCTCGACCGGCTCGAGCCAGATTTCTCGCTCATCGTCAATCGAGCAACGTGCGCGCATGCGCCCATGCTTCGACGACGCGCTCGTGCACGCTCGCGCAGGCGCTCGAGGCAGGAACGAAGAGCGAGAGGCAAGCTTTCCTCGCTCGACTCGCTCGCGCCTCTCTCGGCGGGCGCACAGTCGCGCACTCGTGGCTCGAAGCGGGACGAACGGCGTTGCACAGGGTCGACGAGACAGTATGGCGGCGAGAGGCGAAGCGGGGCGGGGCAAGGGGCAGGAGGGACGGGGGGAGAGAGAGAGGGAATGGGAAAAGGTCGGCGACGAGATCTGCGGGCGGCCGAGGCTGGGTGAGCTCCGTGCTCGCCGTCGCACATGGAGAGAAGTCGAGGAACGCGCCTTCAGTAGCTGAACGGCTTGGCAGTCAGGACGACCGACAGGACCCCGTCGTCGTCGGTCTCGACGCCGGCCTTTTCCCACCCGGTCCACATGTCGTAGCCGTCCAGCATCGACCGCCACGTCACATCCTCCAACTCGTCCTCGTCCTCGTCGTCACACCAGCCGCCGAAGACCTCGGCAACGTACCACTCGGGCGGCCTCGAGCCCCAGAAGCGGCCGAGCCCCTTGAGCACGCGGCGGACCGTGATGCCGTTCGTGTCGATGATCCGCACGCACTGAAAGAGACCGACGTCGAGGTACATCAGGCAGCACGAAGGGCTGGTGGCAAAATCGTCGACGGCCTTGTAGCGGAACGCCGTGCGCTCGCGGCCGCCCTTGACGAAACATGCGCGCGTCACGGCGTGCTTGCCCTCGAAGAGGCAGTCCGTGCCGTGCAGGAGCGGGTGGATGATGACCTCCATGCCGACGGCGAGTTCTTTGGGCGGCTGGGCGCGGAACAGGGCGTCGTCGAACGAGGGATCCTGCGGTCGGGGAGCGTGCAGGTGAGCGCGGGCCCTCGTCGCGCGCCGTCCTCAACCAGGAGGGAGGGGGGGGACGCACCTGGAGGAAGCCCTTGAATTTCTTGCACAGCTGCGCCGCCTTCTGCAGGCCCGAGTAGTCGAGGTCGCCGAGGATCTTGAGCCACAGCTCGTCCGGGAGCGATGACGAGCGAGGGGCGCCGGCGGCGGCGGCAGCGACGACAGGCTCGGCTGGCGGTGTGACGGGCAAAGCAGAGCTCGACATGCAGGCTGGTCGTGGAGCTGCGAGTCGGGTGCGGCAGCGAGGGAGAGTGAGGAGGGAGAGGGGTGACGAGGCGCGAGTCGAGCTGCGGGGCAGGGGGAAGGTGCGCTTAGGCCTCTCGCGAGTTGCACTCTTGCACCGGCTGGGCTGGCGAGCTGGTGCTTTACTGCGACTGAAGCGAGCTTTGCGGCTGCCCGAGAAGCCGGACGAGAACGCCGTAGCTCGAGTTCGGCTCGCACCTTCTCCTCCTCGCTCGCGTCGACTTGGCGCTGCCGGCGCGCTCTCAGCTCATCGTGGCTCGTCGTCGCTGCAGGTACCACTTCGTTCGGTACCTCGAACAGGCTCGCCGATACTCTGCTCGACCTCGCGGCTCTCGCAGCGGTGGCACAGAGCGAGCGTTCCTCGCTCGACTCGCCCGCGCATCTCTCGACGGACGCTCGCGGCGTCAAGCGGGACGGACGGCGCTGCAGAGGGGACAAAGGACAGAAGGTACGGCTGCGAGAGAGAGAGAGAGCTAAAGCGGGACGGAGGAGGGGTACACGAGGAGAGAGAAAGGGAGAGGTCTGCGGACGCAGGACGCTGGGTCAGGTCGAGGTCCTTCGAGACAGAGGAGGAGAGCCAGGGGGCGCACCTTTTACGAGTCGTACCCGCAGGCGGTCAGCCGGACAGCGGTCGCCTCGTTCTCGACGACGGCCTCCTCCCACCCCGTCCAGCCGTTGCGGTCGCCGAGCGCCATCTGCCACGTCACCTCGTCCGGCGGGCAGTGGTACTCGGCCGCCATGTTCCACGCCCACGTCGACGTCGCCTTCGAGCCCCAGAAGTGGCCGAGGCGCTGCAGGACGCGGCGGACCTTAATGCCGTTGCGGTCCGTGACCGGGAACGACTTGCCGACGCCGACGTCGACGTGCATGATGGTCGCCGGCGGCCACGTCGCGTACTCGTCGACGGCCGGGTACTCGAACGCCGTGTGCTCCTCGCCGTCGTCGCCCCCCATGCTCGCCCACGTGAGGGCGTCCTTGCCCGTGAAGACGCAGTAGGTGGCGGCGAGGAGCGGGTGGATCTCGAGCGTGCTGTTGGGGATGAGCTTCTTGGGCGGCTTGACGCGCGTGCGGAACAGGCGGGCGTCGAACGACTCGTCCTGTGAGGAGGGCGAGAGGGAAGGAGGAGGGGGAGGGGAGGTAGGAGGACGCGGGTCAGGGACGGGGGAGAGGACGCGGCGGTGGAAGCGGGGCGCACCTCGATGAAGCGCTTGAGCTTCTTGCACAGCTGCGCCGCCTTGTGCAGGCCCTTGTAGTCGAGCTGGTCGAGGACGAGCACCCAGATCTCGTCGGGCCAAGTCGCCGTGGTGGGAGGAGCGGCGGCGCCCGCGAGGGCGGCGGCGGGCGGTGGCGAGGCCGAGTCGGTCGAGCTGGGCGAGTTGGGCATGCTGGCGAGGCGTGCGAGCAGCGAGCAACGAGTGGTGGTGAGGGGGAGGGAGGAAAAGAGGTGACGAGGCGCGAGCCGAGCTGCGGGGAAGGGGGAAGGTGCGCTCAGGCCCCTCGCGAGATGCACTCTGCCGCACAGCGGCAGAGCGGCTCTGACACTCGAGTACCCTGACTGTGATGTCGAGAGCTGCTAGAGACGCGAGCGACGTTCTCGAAGGTCGACTCAAGCTCGCGCTCCCTCTCGCGCTCCCGAATGGCGACTTCTTGAGATCTCCCGGCTGCTGCGACGCCTCTCGCTCCTGCTCTCGAGAATGAGACTACGCAGACAGGAAGTCGCTGTCGGTCGATAGACGAGTTGCAGAGCGAGGTCGTCGCCTTCTCGAGTGACCAGGCGCCGCAGCTCGAGACCTCGTCGTCCTCCCACCGCCGCCGCCGCCGCGCTCAGCCGGCCTGCGCATGCAGCGCATACACCGCTCGCCGCACGACGTAGTACGTCTCGCCCGGAGCGCCCTCGACGACGAGCCGCCCCCTGCCGACCTTCCTCACGGCGCACCTCCCGCCGCTCACCTCCATCGCCTCGTCGAGCAGCGCGTCGCGCACGTACTTTGCGCCCTTGCGCACGTCGATCCCGGCGCGAACGGCGGCCGACGAAAAGTCGAACCCGAACGCCTCGGGCGGCGCAGGCCCGCACACGAGGATGCCCTCGCCGGTGAACTCGGACGGGACGTGCAGGGCGGCGAGGCGCTCCTTGAGGAGCGCGAGGCGCAGGTCGCCGATGAAGAGCGACGGCTTGAGCGCGGGCAGGATCGACGTGTCGGTCGGCGCCTCGTCGGCGTCGTCGGGTGACGGCTTCTGGTCCTCGGCGTGGTCGGTCGGCGACGGCGCGGCGGCGACGACGGCGGCAGCCGCCTCGTCCATGACAGCGTCCTCGCCGGTCGGCTCGGGGGCGGTGAGCGCAGGGGCGGCCGTCGCGTCGGCGAGCGTGACGCGCTCGAGGACGGGAAGGTCCGACTCGGGGTCGATGTGGATCACGCCCGACACGAACGCCACCTCGTAGTCGTCGACCTGTAGAGCAACACCGAGAGTGAGGAACTGTACGACTGAACGAGAGAGAGAGAGGCTGGGCGCACCCGAGAGAGACGCAGAGCTGCCATGATGCTGTCGCCGAGGCGGATCGAGAAGTTCTTGGTCTCCTCTCCGACCTTGATCTTCTCGCCAAGCGCAGGCGTGAAGATGTCCTCGGTCATCGACGTGACGGACTTGCACGCGCCGGCGAGGTCGGCGATCGAGTCGGGCGGCCCATCGACGATGACCTGCGTGCGCACGAGCTCGAGTGAGCGGGGCACGATGAGGCGAGAGAAAGAGAGAGAGAGAGGCGTCACGCACAAGCTTGCGCGGATTAATCTGCGGCAGGATCGTCTTGAGGGCGCGACCGTCGCTGAGGCCCTCCATGTCGACGACGAACAGGAGGGACTGGAGGTGGACCTCGACGCGGTCGACGACGTACTTGTGCGGCGGCTCGGGCTTCTCCTGCGCAGGGCGTGCGAGCACGCCGTCAGTATGTCGCCAGAGAGAAGTACGAGAGGATCAGAGAGAGAGGGGCGCACCTCGTGCACAGGCTCGGGCTCGTCCTCCCTCGGCCGCTTGCCGAGCACCTGCTGGTCCGCCCCAGGCGCGAGCGGGTCCTCCTCCTGTCCCCTGCGCAACCACCCCTCGACATCGATCGCCTCGCCGTACGCGTCGACCCTCCTGCGCCGCTCGACGACGGGGAACATGCGGAACCGCTGCAGGCCCGAGCCGCCGCCGGCGCGCACGCCGAACGACCCGCGCACGTAAATGTCGAACGACTGGCCCCCCGCCGACCCTGCGAGCGCCTCGGCGTCGAGGAACTCGTCCCACGCGCCGGCGCCGCCCGTGAAGCCGCCGATGCGCCGCCGCCGCAGCGCCGCCGGCTCGCCCTCGCCGCGCGCCGCCTCCTCGGCCGCGTCGGCCTCCTCGCCGTGCGCACCGTCGTCGTCGCCGTCCGAGTCCGAGTCCGAGTCGGACTCGCCGCCGGCGTCGGCGTGAAGCATGCGCCGCGAGCGCTCGAGGGCCGCCTGCTGCTTGGCGAGGAGGTCGGCCGCTTCTTGCTCGGCGGCGAGGTGCGCCTCGAGCTCGTCGCCCTCGAGGTAGACCTTGCGGCGCATCTGCGTGTCCCGAGTCGGTGTACCGAAATGTCAGATCTGGAACGCCTCGGGGAGGAAGAGGGCGAGGAAAGCCGGCACGGCGACGCACCTCGAGCTCGACGACCCTGTCCATCTGGACCTCCTTGCCGACCTTGCCCTGCCCGTACTTGCACCCCTCGTCCTGCTGCGGCTCCCACACCTCCTTGGCGAGCCACCTCGCGAGGCTGCCCGGCTCGCTCAGGCCCGTCAGGAGGACGAGGTTGGCCGGCGAGCGCGCAAAGTCGAGGAAGAGGGCGCGCGCAAAGCCGTACGACAGGGTCGACGGGACGGTGAGGATAAGCTTGGGGACCGTCGGCGGGATGGCGGCGGCGATCTCGTCGAGCGACGAGAAGATGCGGAGGTTGCTGCGGGTGGCCACCAGTCAGCTCAGCTCGCCGTACCTGCGCCGCAGACACGAGAGAGCAAGAGAGAGAGAGAGAGAGAGGAAGGGCGCCGACGCACCTGAACTTGAGCTTGTCGGCCGCGTCGCCGGCGAGCTGACCGCCCATCCACTCGGTCAAGCTGCGCACGAACCCGACGGCGTCCTTGCCCGTACGCGAGATGAGGCACAGCGGGAACTGGGCGCCGAGACCGGCAAAGCGCCAGTGCGTCTCGAGGAGGACGAGGAGCTCAAACAGGCGCGCCGACGGGTCGGTCGGGAGGAGGATCGAGCCGCCCGACTGGAGGGTCGACGTGATGAGGTCTGGCGGGTGCGAGCGAGTCAGTGCGGGCTCTCGAGAGCTCGTGAGAGAGGGAGGAGGAAGCGCAGAGGACGCACCGAGAAGCTTGCGCTCGCGGTCGATGCGCTTGATGTTGACGACCTTGCTGCGCCGTGCGCCGACGACGACGACGCCCATCCGGCGAAAGTTGTCGTCGACGTTGCCGGCGTGCAAGAGCGAGGTCGGGTCGAGGTGGTGCTCCTTGACGTGATTGAACGAGGGCGCGTACAGGAACGACGAGGCGGACGAGGCGGGCGAGAGCGAGGACGAGAGCGAGGGCCGCAGGGTGTACAGGGAGCCGCCGAGGGTGTGCCCGGAGCGATGTGCGACGAGCGTGTAGCCCTTTAGCGGACCTGTGGAACAAGTGTGAGTCAGTGACATGGACAGTGAGGCTCGAGGTGACCGAGGGACGGACCAGAGAGGTGGATGGGCTGGGTCCACCGGACAGCGTTGATGGCGAGGAAGGCGTCGCGGATCTCCTGCGTCGTGAGCTTCCACGCCTGGTCCCACGGGTCGCTCGACGCTGTCGGCGCAACGTCGCCGTCCTCGCTCTTGACGAGCGCGACGCCGTCCGTCTCCTCCTCCTCCTCCTTGGCCGCGACGACGTCCTCGCCGACGCCGACCTCGACGTCCTGGACCTTGGCCTTGCCCTTGCGCCGCTTCTTGTCGGCCGCCGCGTCCTTGACCTGCTGCTCCTTGAGCTGGTGCGCGAGCTTCTGCTCGACGCGGGCGTCGTTGCGCTCGGCGACGCTGCGCGCCTCGACCCACTCCTCGACGGCGTACCGGCCCATCTCGCGCGTCGGGAGGGTCGCGTAGACGGGGCACCGGAGGCCGCATCTTGCGCGCAGGTACGGGAGGAGGCCGAGGCTCGTCAAGAGCGGGTGCGACAGGAGGACGAGGTTGAGGGACGGGGCGAGGTCGCGCAGGGCGGCGAGGTAGGCTGCGACCTGCTCGGCGGTGGGCGTGGCGAGGTCGTCGGGCGCATCTCGTGCGAGCGTCGAGTCGGACCCTTTGTCGTACGCGCCGCAGTCGAGGAGGACGTGCGCGCCGTCGACCGTGAGGAGGTAGGTTGGAGGGAGAGGAGAGGTCGACAGCGGGGTGATCGTGATGCTCATGGCGGCGGCGGCGGCGGGCTCGTTGGAGCTACTTGACGAGGTCTGGCGAGCTCGTTCGCTGGCCGGGGCGACGGCTGGCCGACGTTGGTGGTCGAGAGGGTGGTCGAGGTCGAGCCGAGGCGGCGAGTGCGCTCGGCGCTGCGGCGAGGTCGGGACGGGCCGAGATCAGTCCGAGGTGTTGTTCGAGCCGATTGGGCGTGCTCGGGTGCGGGTCAAGCGGTGTGGGGGGGACGAGTCGAGGCGAATGACCTCGTCGGCCGCTGGCGGAGTGCCTCTCTCCCTCCCACTTCTCACTCGTTCAAGTGAGTGACTATCTCAGTCTACTTCATACCTCTTAACGGATAGGTCTGACCGACCACATAAATCGCAGGCGACGGTGCGAGACGCCAATTCGACCGGATCACACTCGCCCCCTCCTCCTCGCCTCCCACCACACCACCGCTCTCCCTCAAAACCACAACAATGGGCCTCAGCATTTCTAAGCTCCGTTGAGTCGCTCTTTCTCATTCCAACCAGCCAAACGGCAACGCGCCACGGTCTCTCGTCGTCGAGATATTAATGTCGACGTCTCGACGAGGGGCACCTACCCCCCTCGCGCGAGGACAGCTCCAGGGACATGCGCGCTGACCTAGACCTGTTCCACATATCCTCCTTTGTCCACTTCGCACCGCCGCCCCTGTCCCCACCGCCTGTCGCCGTCGCAATCGCCTCTCGACGCGCCCCTCCACGCGACACGTCCCCCCTCGCCTCGCCTCCCACTCGCGATCACGACCTCGCTAAACCCTGAACGCACCGCCATGGCGTCCGATCCACCTCCTGTACCGTCGTCGTCCAACTTGCGCGGTCTCGGCGAGCAGTGTCGGGCCTCTTTGGCAAGAAGGAGATGCGCATCCTCATGGTCGGACTCGACGCCGCCGGAAAGACGACCATCCTCTACAAGCTCAAGCTCGGCGAGATCGTCACCACCATCCCGACCATCGGTGCGTCCTCGCCTTCTCTCGCCTCGACTCGGTTCTCGCGTGTGTCGGAGGCGCGGCGCGCGAGCCTGCGGACGACCGGGCAGCCAGCGGCTCGATCTCGCTCTCAGCGTGCGAGTTCGTCCAACCGGGCAGGAGAGCGCACAGTGCTCGAGGCGTGTCGCGCGACGGGGCGCGCATGGGCATGGACAAGGCCGGCCGCACGATCACCTCACTGACTCTCCGGCCCCCACTTCGTCCTCCTCTGGCACGCAGGCTTCAACGTCGAGACGGTCGAATACAAGAACATCTCGTTCACGGTGTGGGACGTCGGTGGGCAGGACAAGATTCGTCCTCTCTGGAGGCATTGTGCGTCTCGCTCTCTCTCTTTCCCTCTCGACTCGTCAACCGCCCCTGACACGAGTCCCGGCCGCGACCCGCAGACTTCCAGAACACGCAGGGCATCATCTTTGTCGTCGACTCGAACGACCGCGACCGTGTGTCCGAGGCGCGCGAGGAGCTGCAGCGCATGCTCAACGAGGACGAGCTCCGCGACGCGCTCCTCCTCGTCTTTGCCAACAAGCAGGACCTGCCCAACGCCATGAACGCGGCCGAGATCACCGACAAGCTCGGCCTCCACTCGCTCAGGCAGAGGCAGTGGTACATCCAGTCGACGTGCGCCACGAGCGGTGACGGCCTGTACGAGGGTCTCGAGTGGGTGCGTCGGCCCCGCCTTCCCCTCCTACTCTCGGGCGGCTTCTGCCTGCGAGACCTCGACTGACATCCCTCTGCGCCCCCCTTCTCGCAGCTCTCGACCAACCTCAAGCGCCGGGCATAAGCGACTCGCGCGGTCGGACCCCGTCTCGTTCTCTCGCCTCTCGCCTTGCCACCCTCCTCTCGCCCCTTGCCTTCCCTCCCGCCTTCGCACCGCGCCTCCCGCATTCCCCCGCGCCCGACGCAAGCTGTTGTCCTCATCTGTGTCCCCCTCCCCCTCGCACATCAGCCGCGCTTGCG